AGCACAGGGCTGAGGGCAGGGGAGCGACGCTCACAACGAGCGGAGCGCCGGGTGTAATACAACGGATCAAGTTGGCACAGTAGGGGGCACTGGTGGTTCTTCTGCCAGTCGATCAACCCATGGCACCTGCTGGGTCTGTACCGCGTCCTCCTGTCAGAGAGCCTTGGACACGTCACGTGGCCTCAAAGTGCACCTAGCCTGGCACAGGCGCCGTGGTGACGTCGCCATCACTTCGTGGCAAATAGCGGGTATTGGTACGAGGGCCGTCCATAAATGACGTCACGCACCTAGGGGGGGGGGGGGCGGTCAGACACTTGTGACGATGAGTTACGAGGAGGTTTGAGAAATGTGACGTCACATCAAAATGCGCAACTTTAAATAAATAAAGACAACACGTTCTACTTAATTAAATAGACTTTTTAATAAATGTTTCTCCTACAACATCAGATTGCAGCGCCAAATTAAATACGCACTACAATGACAATAGTTTAAAGCGATTTGAAGCATGTTTTATTTTTTTTTTGGGGGGGGGGGCAGAGCTTTGTGACGTCATATTTCAGGGGGGGTCTGACTTTGTGTGACGCCGTGTGCCGATGAGGGCGGGGAGGTAAAAAATCGTCAAAAATCGCGTGACGTGATATATGGACGGCCCCACAGCACTGCCCACCATCAAAAATAAGAATAGCTTTCACCCTTTCTGGCAATAAAACCTATTCTTATTTTGTGATACCCTTGATAATGACAAAAGGTCCATTGATATTGTACTGCCAATTGTTGTCGTGACAACATCTATACCACCTCTTCTTGGTTCTTTCGGTAAAGTCACGTAGAAGGGAAGCATTAAAATAATAAAAATAAAACATAATAAAATAATTCTCACGACGTTTCCGCCACAACACAAGCAGCCGTCCTCAGGTGAAGAATGAAACACCACCAAGCTTGGAGCGTATATATTTAAGCTGGGTTGGAGGGGGGAAGAAGAGCGCCTTGACAAAATAATTTGCATATCAAGAGGAATTTAGCATATTTAGGGGAAATGCGTGACTTTACCGAAAGAACCAAGAAGATGAATCCCTGCAATCACGAAAGCTTTAAATCGAAACCTATACCACCTGTTATGCAATCATGGTTGCCCAATCCACACGCGCGTACGAGCCAGGCTCAGGAGCTGCTTAGCTTCGCCGGGTTTCGTGAGATTTCGAGAGATGTGGCGCATTCCGGAAGAGTTCGTCAGCGGCGACTCTGGTATGTGTTGTGGGCATTCCTGGTGCTTATAGGCCAGCGTGGTATGCGTTGCCATATGTACGTGTAGGTGTGTGTGCACCTGTGTGTGTGTATGTGTCAGTGTGTGTATCAGTGTGTGTGTCTGTGTGTATGTCTGTGTATATGTGTCAGTGTGTGTCAGTGTGTGTATGTCTGTGTGTATGTGTCAGTGTGTGTATCTGTGTGTGTGTCTGTGTGTGTCTGTGTGTGTCTGTGTGCATGTGTGTGTCTGTGTGTGTGTGTCAGTGTGTGTGTCTGTGTGTGTCTGTGTGTATGTGTGTCTGTGTGTATCTGTGTGTGTCTGTGTGTATGTGTGTGTGTGTCAGTGTGTGTGTCTGTGTGTATGTGTATGTCTGTGTGTATCTGTGTGTGTCTGTGTGTATGTGTGTGTGTCAGTGTGTGTGTCTGTGTGTATGTCTGTGTGTATGTGTCAGTGTGTGTGTCTGTGTGTGTCTGTGTGTATGTGTGTCTGTGTGTATCTGTGTGTGTCTGTGTGTATGTGTGTGTGTGTCAGTGTGTGTGTCTGTGTGTGTCTGTGTGTATGTGTATGTCTGTGTGTATCTGTGTGTGTCTGTGTGTATGTGTGTGTGTCAGTGTGTGTGTCTGTGTGTATGTCTGTGTGTATGTGTCAGTGTGTGTGTCTGTGTGTATGTGTCAGTGTGTGTATCTGTGTGTGTCTGTGTGTGTGTCTGTGTGTATGTGTCAGTGGCGGTAGTGTCGTGGTTAGCGCTGCGCTACGAACCCGGCCACCCGAGTTCGATTCCCGCTCACGGCCAACACCATTGGCGATTATATGAACCGGTACTGGGCCTCGCCGAGGTCGACTTAGCATCAAATAGTGTAGGGTGTGTCAAACATCGCCACTGGGGGAGACAAAGGCGGCCGTGCGTGGGGCTGGCCACCCACCCCCTCGTGTGCCGTGTCGGCCTTCGTCGGTGCATTATAACAGCACTTGCCCCAACACTCTGTTAAAGCTACACGGGGTTTCTTTGTCTGTGTGTGTGTGGTGGGGGGTGTAGCGGTTAGCGCGTTGTGCCGGCGACGATTATCTGAACCGGACCTGTGCCTACGCTAGGTCGACTCAGCCTTAAATGAGTCACCTTGTGTGGTGTGTAATCAGACATCAGCGCTGGGGAGACAAAGGCGGCCGGGCGTCGTGGTGGTTGCCACACCTTTCCGGCTTTAGTGGTTGCTACTCGCCAACAGCACTTGTCCCATCAGCCTACGAGAGGCTACACGGGGGATCTTTATCTTTGTGGTGTGTGTGTGTGTGTCCAAATAAAATTCAGTCGTAATCCCTCTGTCTCTTTGGGAGTAGGGGCGGTCAGACGAGTCCGCAACCCACCGGACTGGTCTGGCCACGCCTGGCCGCCTTTGTCTTCCCGCCCTCCTCCGCCCCCCTCCGCCCCGGGGCAGGTACGGTACCAGCCGTGGCCGGGTTCGTGGCGAACACACAAGTAGAGACACCCACACCATCAACAACAAGAGGGGGTGTGGCGCTTGTGCGAGGCTAGGTGCACCTCGAGGCCGCCACGCGAAGTGTCGAAGGCTCTCGCTGCTGGCAGGTCACGGGACAGACCCAGATTGACTGCTGTGCCAGGCTAGGTGCAGGAGGTCACGGGACAGACCCAGGTTGACTGCTGTGCCAGGCTAGGTGCAGGAGGTCACGGGACAGACCCAGATGCCGTGGGTTGACTGCTGTGCCAGGCTAGGTGCAGGAGGTCACGGGACAGACCCAGATGCCGTGGGTTGACTGCTGTGCCAGGCTAGGTGCAGGAGGTCACGGGACAGACCCAGATGCCGTGGGTTGACTGCTGTGCCAGGCTAGGTGCAGGAGGCCACGGGACAGACCCAGATGCCTTGGGTTGACTGCCGTGCCAGGCTAGGTGTAGGAGGTCACGGGACAGACCCAGATGCCGTGGGCTAACTACTGTGCCAGGCTAGGTGCAGGAGGCCACGGGACAGACCCAGGTTGACTGCTGTGCCAGGCTAGGTGCAGGAGGCCACGGGACAGACCCAGGTTGACTGCTGTGCCAGACTAGGTGCAGGAGGTCACGGGACAGACGCAGGTGCCGTGGGTTGACTCCTGTGCTAGGCTAGGTGCAGGAGGTCACGGGACAGACCCAGGTGCCGTGGGTTGACTGCTGTGCCAGGCTAGGTGCAAGAGGTCACGGGACAGACGCAGGTGGCATGGGTTGACCGCTGTGCCAGGCTAGGTGCAGGAGGCCACGGGACAGACCCAGGTGCCATGGGTTTACTGCTGTGCCAGGCTAGGTGCAGGAGGTCACGGGACAGACCCAGGTGCCGTGGGTTGACTGGCAGATGCACCACCTGTTTCCCCACTGTGCCACAGACACAGTACGTACACACAACATGTAAATTGACACACGTGGACACACACAGGGACGTAGCGACATACGTATACACACTTCCATGCAAATACACTGGTATCACGTCACTTTCCGCAGACGTCACGCATCTAGGGGGGGGGGGGGAATCAGACATTTGTGACGATGTGTGACGAGGGGGGGGGTTGAGAAATGTGACGTCACATCAAAATGCGCAACTTTAAATAAATATAGACAACACGTTCTACTTAATTCAATAGACTTTTTACAATGATTTGAAGCATGGAAATATGGTTGGGGGGGGGGAGGCAGAGCTTTGTGACGTCATATTTGAGGGGGGGTCTGACTTTTTGTGACGCCGTGTGACGAGGGGGGGGGGTCAAAAATCGTCCAATATCGCGTGACGTCATTTATGGACGGCCCCTGAACAGACTCTTGGGCCAAGTACTGTTAGCTGTTAGCGAGTAGCACCTATGACGGTCTGCGCGGCACCCGAGGGGGGTGGGTGGCCAGCACCACGCCCGGCCGCCTTTGTCTCCCCAGTGGCGATGTTCATAAATCGCAAACGGTACTCATTTGAGGCTGAGTCGACCTAGGGGAGGCCCAGGACCGGTTCGGATCATCGTCACCACTGTTGGCCGTGAGCGGGAATCGAACTCAGGTCGCTGCTCCCCACACACACACAGTACACACACTACATATACACACAGTACATATACACAGAACACACACTACACAAAGAAAAAGATCCCCCGTATAGCCTTAACAGACTTGTGGCAAGTTCTGTTAGCGAGCAGTACACACACTACATACACACACTACACACAGACCACATACATACACAAACCATACACACATACACACACCATACACACCATACACACAGACCACATACATACACACACACTACACACAGACCACATATATACATACACCATACACATACACTACATACACACACACTACATACACACACACTACACACACTACAGACACTACATACACACACACTACATACACAATACACACAATACACACACACACTACATACACACACACACTACACTACACACACTACACACATTACATACACACACACTACACACACTACATACACACACACTACATACACAATACACACACACACAATACACACACACACTACATACACACAATACACACATTACACTACACACACTACATACACAATACACACACTACACTACATACACTACACACACGCAGACACTCCCAGAGGCTGTGACATTTCCCCGAGGAGCCGAGCCGGTCCGGCAGGTCCCCGGCAGAGCCCCGCACCCGGGGGGAGGGGGGGCAGGGGGGGGGCAGCGTGGAGCGGGGCGGCCACGCCCGGACCCCGGCGTGGAGACCCAACCCCAAGCGGAGCGAGAGGCGTGGGAGCCCCGGTGAGAGAGAGAGAGAGGAGGAGACGGAGGGCAGAGAGAGGCAGGTGAGCGAGCGAGCGAGCGCTGGCGGTGTGATGGTGATGGTGGTGATGAGGGTGGTGAGAGTGGTGATGCTTGCGCTGGTGATGGTGGTGTTTGAAAAGTGATGGTGATAGTGGTGATGCTTGTGCTGGTGATGATGGTGGTGGTGATAGTGGTAAGGGTGGTGGTGAATAGTGATGGTGATAGTGGTGAGGGTGGTGATAGTGGTGAGGGTGGTGATGAATAGTGATGATGGTGGTGGTGATAGCAGTGAGGGTGGTGGTGAATAGTGATGATAGTGGTGATTCATGGTGGTGATAGTGGTGGTGATGATAGTGGTGGCGGTGATGATAGTGGTGGCGGTGATGATAGTGGTGGCGGTGATGATAGTGGTGGCGGTGATGATAGTGGTGGTGATTGTGGTAGTCATAGTGGTGGTGATGTTAGTGGTGGTGATGATAGTGGTGGTGATGATAGTGGTGGTGATTGTGGTGGTGATTGTGGTAGTCATAGTGGTGGTGATGGTGGTGATTATGATGGTGGTGGGGCGCTGTCGTGTAGCTGTTATCGCGCTCCACTACGAACCTGGCGCCCAGAGTTCTATTCCAAATCACGGCCACCAACAGCAGTGACGATTATCTCAACCGGTTCCTGGGCCTCCCCTAGGTCGACTTAGCCTCAGATCAGTACCTGGTGTGATATGTAAATCATCACCGCTAGGGAGACAAAGGCGGCCGGGCGTGGTGCTGGCCATCCACCCCATCGTGTGCCGTACCGCCCTGCATAGACACTGCTACTCGCTCACAGCACGTGCCCCAACAGTCTGTTATGTCTCTTTGCTGCCCATTTAATCATCAAAATCAGGGCTCATTAATTTCTCGATGTTTTCCGGAACGCTGCCTAGGCTAGCTTTGGGAGGGGGGGGGGTATCGATTATTACACTGGTCAACACACTTTTTCTGGCATAAGGTATTCCAACGGGTTTAAGGTAATTTTGGGGTGCTGATTCCAAATCTGGCATCAGTTTTTGTCTATCACATCAGAGATATAAAATATTGCATTTTCAATAAAAACTGCAGAAGAAAAATATTAAATAAATGTGGATATCTACATAAAATGATATTATAAACACACTATCCTAAAAATACAGCACCATATTTTAACACTAAAGCAGTCACTGACTCGCAACAACTTGCAATCATAAGTGACAGAGTTAATTTCGGGTAAAATCAATGAAAATGGGGTATGCCGATAGCATACAAATGAGATGTGATAGGGCAAATCTGAGATCAGATTTGGAATCAGCACCCTAAAATTAGTCTAAAACAGCTGCAAAAGTCCAGGCCAGATGTTTTGTTGTTGTTGACCAGTGTTATCGGCGTAAGGAACTAGCACTAGGATACAAACCTTCGTAAATCTTAAAGCACAAACACAACATGGAGTGAGCATTGGGGAAGAGAAGTCGTCTCCTCTGGCGGTCTATTGCCCGTGGTGGTCATTCCACATTTCTATGGCCGGGACCAATCCGCACAAGAGCCACAACACAAGCCCCATTTCTGATTTCTTGGCACAAAGTGACCAATTAGTCCCGCCTGCTTTATCGACCGTGATGATGGTGGTGGTGGCAGCAGTATGGTTGAGAGTGTAATGAATATACTGCTAGTGATGATGGTGGTTATGTTATTGCTGCTAATGATACTGGTGCTGCTGCTGATGACTTGCTGATGTTGATAATGATAAAGTTGTTGCTGATGTTGACTGTTTCTGATGCTGCTGATGATGATGACACTATCGCTGTTCTATTTGCCGAGTTATGATCGCGGTTGCTTCTGCTACTGCAGCTGATGATGATCGCTATACTCTTGCTACTGCTGATGGCGATGGGTGCACTTGCTGGTGATGATGATGAAAGGCATGTGGATTTACCGGTTGAATACCAGTTCAGCCCTGGGTAACTCCAGCTGAAATTAAGAATCAGGAGGGTAGTTACAGTGACTAACACAGCACCCTATAGGAGCCTTGGTCTGGCTCTGTGAGCCTCAGCAATTGACACTGAACCCAATGGGAGAGAGCCTCGGTCTGGCTCTTTGAGCCTCAGTGATTAACACTGAACCCTATGGGAGAGAGCCTCGGTCTGGCTCTGTGAGCCTCAGCAATTGACACTGAACCCAATGGGAGAGAGCCTTGGTCTGGCTATGTGAGCCTCAGTGATTAACACCGAACCCTATGGGAGAGAGCCTTGGTCTGGCTCTGTGAGCCTCAGTGATTAACACTGAACCCTATGGGAGAGAGCCTTGGTCTGGCTCTGTGAGCCTCAGTGATTAACACCGAACCCTATGGGAGAGAGCCTTGGTCTGGCTCTGTGAGCCTCAGTGATTAACACGAACCCTATGGGAGCCTCAGTCTGGCTCTTTGAGCCTCAGTGATTAACACTGAACCCTATGGGAGGGAGCCTTGGTCTGGCTCTGTGAGCCTCAGTGATTAACACTGAACCCTATGGGAGAGAGCCTTGGTCTGGCTCTGTGAGCCTCCGTGATTAACACTGAACCCTATGGGAGAGAGCCTTGGTCTGGCTCTGTGAGCCTCCGTGATTAACACTGAACCCTATGGGAGAGAGCCTTGGTCTGGCTCTGTGAGCCTCCGTGATTAACACTGAACCCTATGGGAGAGAGCCTTGGTCTGGCTCTGTGAGCCTCAGTGATTAACACTGAACCCTATGGGAGAGAGCCTTGGTCTGGCTCTTTGAGCCTCAGTGATTAACACGAACCCAATGGGAGGGAGCCTTGGTCTGGCTCTGTGAGCCTCAGTGACTAGCACTGAACCCTATGGGAGAGAGCCTTGGTCTGGCTCTGTGAGCCTCAGTGACTAGCACTGAACCCTATGGGAGAGAGCCTTGGTCTGGCTCTGTGAGCCTCAGTGATTAACACTGAACCCTATGGGAGAGAGCCTTGGTCTGGCTCTGTGAGCCTCAGTGATTAACACCGAACCCTATGGGAGAGAGCCTTGGTCTGGCTCTGTGAGCCTCAGTGATTAACACTGAACCCTATGGGAGAGAGCCTTGGTCTGGCTCTGTGAGCCTCAGTGATTAGCACTGAACCCTATGGGAGAGAGCCTTGGTCTGGCTCTGTGAGCCTCAGTGACTAGCACTGAACCCTATGGGAGAGAGCCTTGGTCTGGCTCTGTGAGCCTCAGTGACTAGCACTGAACTCTATGGTAGAGAGCCTTGGTCTGGCTCTGTGAGCCTCAGTAACTAGCACTGAACTCTATGGGAAAGGGCCTTGGTCTGGCTCTGTGAGCCTTAGGGAGTCGTGATCAATGCAGGTGTGAGTTTCAAAGTTGATGTTGCTGTGCGTGTGTATTTGTTTGATGATCTCTGTCTCCGCGTAAATCGAATCCAACACGTGACTTGGACCACAGCATCTGTCGGAGGCCACACGAGGAATTCCGACGAGCAGCACCTGCCACAGGCGCCCGGCCACAGCAATCACAGGTGAGTGAAGAGTCTCACAGAGCCAGACTAAGACTCCTCCCACGCGTAGGGTTCAGTGTTCATCACTGAGGCTCACAGAGCCAGGCTAAGGCTCTCTCCCATAGGGTTCAGTGTTAATCACTGAGGCTGACAGAGCCAGGCTAAGGCTCTCTCCCATAGGGTTCAGTGTTAATCACCGAGGCTCACAGAGCCAGGCTAAGGCTCTCTCCCATAGGGTTCAGTGTTAATCACTGAGGCTCACAGAGCCAGGCTAAGGCTCACTCCCATAGGGTTCAGTGTTAATCACTGAGGCTCACAGAGCCAGGCTAAGGCTTTCTCCCATAGGGTTCAGTGTTAATCACTGAGGCTCACAGAGCCAGGCTAAGGCTCTCTCCCATAGGGTGCAGTGTTAATCACTGAGGCTCACAGAGCCAGGCTAAGGCTCTCTCCCATAGAGTTCAGTATTAATCACTGAGGCTCACAAAGCCAGATCAAGGCTTTCTCCCATAGGGTTCAGTGTTAATCACTGAGGCTCACAGAGCCAGACCAAGGCTCTCTCTCATAGGGTTCGGTGTTAATCACTGAGGCTCACAGAGCCAGACCGAGGCTCTCTCCCATAGGGTTCAGTGTTAATCACTGAGGCTCACAGAGCCAGGCTAAGGCTCCCTCTGATAGGGTTCAGTGTTCATCACCGAGGCTCACAGATCCAGACGAAGGCTCCCTCTTATAAGGTTTCGTGTAAATCACTGAGGCTCACAGAGCCAAACTCAGTGTTTATCACTGAGGCTCACAGATCCAGACGAAGGTTCCCGTAGAGTTCAATGGCGATGCCTTCATAAAATGTAACACCAAAATCCTGTACGAGATTGGGCGTATAGATTGTACACACACACACCCAAACATACTGTAATGTACACACACAATCATATTGTGCACACATTGTATATACACACAGACTGTACACACACAAAACTTACTGTATTGTACACACATACTGTCTTGTACACATGTAGTGTTTCGATTTAAAGCTTTCGTGACTGCAGGGATTCATCTTCTTGGTTCTTTCGGTAAAGTCACGTAGAAGGGAAATTATAAAATAATAAAAATAAAACATAATAAAATACAATTCTCACGACGTTTCGGCCACAACGCAAGCAGCCGTCCTCAGGTGAAGAACAGGTCTGTCGGAAAGACAGCGTCTGAATGGGCACCACCAGGCTTGGCAGCGTATATTTAAGCTGCTGGGTTGGAGGAGGAAGGGCGCCTTGACAAAGGAATTTGCATATCAACAGAAGAATTTAGCATATTTATGGGAAATGCAGATATGGAATTAGTCACTACTTGTGTAATGCGTAGGAGGTGGGGTTTCAAAGTCATATTATGCCCGTGCATTATGCGGTATGCAGGATTAGCAGCAACAAAGGAAGGAAGTAGGGTTAGCAGTAATAAAGGGAAGGAATTTTAATAGTAAGGAGCTGCAGCAGCCAAACCACCACGTAAAAAAAGAACTAAAATATAAACTACATCAATATCATAAATATACTAAATATACTCTCCAATAAGCTGAGCTACTAACAGTAAGTCATACATTACAATTCTATGTCGCAAAAAATATAATATGCCTCCAGCTAAACTTTTTCCTTACATCACACGGATCTACCCCGTACTATATAGTGTGAGAATTGTATTTTATTATGTTTTTTTATTATAATTTTATTATTTCCCTTCTAAGTGACTTTACCGAAAGAACCAAGAAGACATGTAGTGTTGTAAAGGACGGACTAATAAACTTCTTTATGGCACACACTGTTTATTGTCTTTAGTACACAGTCCCTAACACACACAAAGGGGTATACGGTCCCCTTACCCATTACCCTGAGGATGTACACCCTCCGGACCTTGTACGCTTAGCTCCTATTCTAAGGAGGTACAGCCAACGGACCTTGCCGTCTATCTAATCTCCCCGCTATCCCAGCGTCCTGCGGCTGGACTTAGGGGAGGCTCACCGACCCACCGCTGGCCCGGCGGGTCCCCGACCTCTGGTCGCTCAGGACCTTCGCCCTCACAAGGGCGGGAAGGCTGGGAGCTAGGGTCCTCCCTATCCTGGACCTAATATCTCCCCTGAGCACTGGTTACACCGAGCCTCAGCCCTAACAAGGGCTGGGAGGCTTGGTCCAGGGTCCTAGATGTCTTCGGCCGACTTGGGTCTTCGTGTAGCAGAACTGCCCAGAGCTCTCAGCGCTTTGGCTTTTATACCGGTTCGTAGCCGGGTTGTCCAATCCCCGGCCACCTTGTGGGACCCTCCGATTGGTCCTTCCCAATCTGGCGTTTGGATCCTACCTCACCCCCTTTGACCCTGACCGTTTGATAGAGCGGGGAAACCCTGGTTACGATCCGCTCTCTCACAGCTTGCGAAGTAGTTATCACCACGACACACACATACAGTACACAAACATTGTACACTCACCCATATCTCACGAACAGAGTGACTGTATACAATTATGAGTCATCATAAAACGTATTACACAAATGCAAAGATTCCCGTGTAGTTCATGTCCACTTTTGGGGCAAGTGCTGTTAGCTAGTAGCACCTATGAAGGCTGGCATGGCACACGAGGGGGTGGGTGGCCAGAACTACGCCCGGCCGCCTTTGTTTCCCCATTGGCGATGTTTAATACATGCCACTGCACCAGGTACTCATTTAAGGCTGAGTCGACCTAGTGGTGGCGAATTTATCTGACGGGTTCAGATAAATTCGTCACTGGTGTTGACCGTGAGCGGGAATCAAACTCAGGGTGCTAGGGACCGTCCATAAATGGCGTCACGCACCTCGGGGGGGGGGGGGGGGCAGACATTTGTGACGATGTGTGACGAGGGGGGGGGGGGGTGATAAATGTGACGTCACATCAAAATGCGCAACTTTAAATAAATATAGACAACACGTTCTACTTCATTAAATAGAGTTTTTAATAAATGTCTTCTCCTACAACATCAGAGTGCAGCGGCACATTAAATACGCGCTACAATGACAATAGTTTAAAGCGATTTGAAGCATGTTTTATATATTTGGGGGGGGGGGGCAGAGCTTTGTGACGTCATATTCGAGGGGGGGGGTCTGACTTTTTGTGACGCCGTGTGACGAGGGGGGGAGGGGGTCAGAAATCGTCCAAAATTGCGTGACGTCATTTATGGACGGGCCCTTAGGTTTGTAGCGCAGTGTGCTATGCGCTACACCCACACACACACATAGATACGCATATAAAGACAAAGATCCCCAGTTTCGCGTTCAACGGACTGTTAGGGCAAGTGCTGTTTGCGAGCACCTATTGAGGCCGGCACGGTACACACACACATTCAGATACAACGCAATGTCATCTACATTCTATTGGTGGCCCGCAGCTGATGGTGGAAACTCCACGTTGCTATGACAGGGTAAACAAAATAATTAAATTACAAATGTTAATAAATAAGTTGACGATTTGCTAGCCTCTCCAGATGATAATAACAAGGATTTTTGACTCATCCCATCAGCCACACAGCATTCTGGGAGCGCGTTTTTGTAGCAGCGTTGGTTCAACTCTCATTTGGAAATACACAAATCATCGCCCCCCTACTGGCAGACTAACGAACAGGGACAGCTTCCACGGGGGGTGCCCCTAGGCTACACTACACAGTTGCAATCATCGGCCCCATACTGGCAGCAGAATATTAAACAAAACAAAAAATATTTTTACCACGTAAGGCCCACTGAGCTATGTAGCTCCTTATCAGATGAAGACCTGGGCATCGTGAATGATAGCTCAACGAAGTGGCTTATCACGGGGAGATTTATAGCACCCAAATATTCTAAACCACATGTCGATTTTAAATGTGGAGGGGAAAACAGGAGGACCCGGAGAAAAACACATGCGATCACAGGGAAAGATAGAGACGTGGACTCCAGGATTGGGATTGAATCCACGACCTCCCGCATACCAGGCGAGGTAGTTAACATTTAGCCACCATGGCGCCCCCTTTGAAAATCAGACTCGTCCAATACCGTCAACTTGAGGCCGCCACAAAAACACTGGACGCGGTTTCGACATTCCGGGACTCGTCAGCAGTTGCTGAGCGTGCAAGAGGCGCGATTGTAACACGGCGTGCACCAAGCGGTCACAGATGAGATCTCCCTCTCCCGCCCGAACGCTTCACCCCGGATTAACCTCCGCTCTGTCACCCTCTTGCAGCCACGCGATTGGCTTTAATTCCCGGGCGGTGGTTGGAAAATCTCATGACCACACCGGGGGAAGGGCCGATAGGGATCACCCCCCCCCCCACAAACCCCCATGGGTCACACAGCTGCAGCCTCTGGGTCGCATTCAGGTTGAGTTTTGTACGACCAAAGGGGGACACCTCAAGAGACCCAGGATATCGAGTCTCATTCGCACGCGTGGCTGATTGACTGAGTCGGTGAGTGATTCCAGTTGCTGAATGTATGTTGAACTTATTTCGTGCTGTGCGTAGTCAACCGTGCTGACCTGGAGGTGAATGGCTGAGCGGGTGAGTCATTGTGAGTAGATGATTGAATGAGGGGCTGAATGACTCAGTGGGTGGGTAAGTGACTGGCTTAATAACTGAGTCGGTGAATGACTGAGTGGCTGAATGACTGAATGTTTGTGTTAGTGACTGGGTTAGTGACTGAGTGGTTGAATAACCGGGTGGGTGGGTGATTGAGCGAGGCAATGAGCGAACTTAATTTTTTCGTGTCTGTGAGCCCTCTAGGACCGCCGTGGTAGCCCCCGCTGCGATGCCGGCAGCGCGACCGTACCGCGACCAGAGCTACTCGGCACTGCGCAAGGGATGCCTTGGGCGCCGGGAGCTCTTCACGGACCCGCACTTCCCGCACGTCAACGCGTCGCTCTTCTACCAGAAGAGCCCCCCCGGGGAGATCGTGTGGAAGCGGCCCGGGGTTTGTGTACACACGGGCGCACGCGCACACGAGACAAATATAGTAGTAGGTTTTTACCCTATGATCTGGTACAAAACTGACACCTTTATAAAAGGGATCATGTTTGCAATAACCACAACACAAGCAGTCAAAATGCAAACAAAAATAAACAACTCTGATAATGATATGCACTGTCCTTGAAGTTGATTGGTCCACACCCGAGACAGCTTTTCTTAGAGCCTAGTCTCACATGGTGTTGGACCAGATGACGCCAAAAGGCTCCTTTTGGTGTAATCTGGTGTCATATGGTCCAACACCATGTGAGACTAGGCTCTAAGTAAATCTGTCTTGGGTGTGGACCAATCAACTTCAAGGACAGTGCATATCATTATCATCATCAGAGTTGTTTATTTTTGTTTGCATTTTGACTGCTTGTGTTGTGGTTATTGCAAACATGATCCCTTGTATAAAGGTGTCGGTTTTGTACCAGTTGAAAGGGTAAAAACCTATTACTATATTTTGCCACTGGTAAAGGAGACCTCATAGTGAGACAAAGATTCCCCCGCAAGCCTCTCGCAGGCTGTTGGGGGCGAGTGCCGTTAGCGGCGGCAGCAGCGCTCATGAACGCCGCCACGGCTGCCTTTGTCATCCCCGGTGGCGATGTCTACACACCGCATCAGCTACAGGTAGTCCCCCGAGTTACGATGGTCCGACTTACGATATTTCGATCTTACGATGGCGATACGACAAAACTGTAAAATATTTTACATTTCGCGCGGCAGGCAAACGCAGCAGCGTAAAGCGGTACGATGCTGTAGGTTGGGACGCTGCCGGGATGTACTCATCTCCCGCCTTGTGCGGTGATGCCTCACTCTCAATGCATGTTAAACGTTTTTCTAGCAGATAGGATTGTTTCCTGAAAATATTTCTATTCAATTGCAGTTCATATAGGTAGGCTAAGAATTTACCTTGTTTTTACTTGCCATTGTACTTTTCAATACAGTATTGTAATTAATAAATACATACAGTATATAGTTTATACAGTACAGTATGGTAAATTGCTCTGTTTTGCTAAATTATCACCATTCTTTAAGACTCCTGGGTAGGCTAGGCCATCTTCGACTTACGATATTTTTGACTTACGATGGGGTCGTCGTAACGCATCTCCATCGTAAATAGAGGACTACCACTCAGTTGAAGCTGTGTGGACCTAGGGAAGGCCCATAACTGGCTCATACAATCGTCCACTGGTGTTGGCTGCGAGCGGGAATCGAACCCGGGTCGCCGGGTTGGTAGCGCAGCGTTCTGCTGCACTACCGCTCATCCCAGTGACACACACACGCACACTACGAGACACACAGACAAGCTACTAAACACACACGCACTAATAGACGCACATGCACTACTAGACACTTATTCCGGTTCATTAATATGACATAAACGCTTTTACTGTTTAATTGATCTGCACGCTAACGTCTGCCCGCAGTAGCTTCCACGCGCACTCAGCGATTGACGCGAGAGGCGCCATTGCCTTGCGGGAAAAGCTTTTAGAGTCCACACTTGTAGAGTTGGCGGCGGTGGTGGTGGTGACGGTGTTTGGGAGCGGTGGCGCAGCGGTTAGCGCTGTACTGCAATACAAACCTGGCCAGCCGAGTTTGATTCTGCTCACGGCCACCACCAACACCAGTGACGATTACCTGAACGGGTTCTGGGCCTCCTCCAGGTCGACTCAGCCTCAAATCAGTACCTGGTGTGGTGTGTAAATATCGCCACTGGGGAGACAAAGGCGGTCGGGCGTGGTGCTGCCAATCCACTCCCTCGTGTGCCGTGCCAGCCTTGATAGGTACTACTCGTTAACGGCACTTGCCCCAACAGTCTGTTTCATTCTATGTGGGGACTCTTTGGTTGGTGGTGGTGATGGTACAGATCGCGATAATTGTGGTGTTGGTTGTGGTGGTGCTTACATTGATGCTGATGATGCTGATGGGACTTTTTTATTTTTACGATCTGGACAAAGTCCCTTTGGTGAGCTCCTCCATCAGGCAAGGCTGCTTTGGCTAGGTTATGTAGTCGCATGCCCAGCCACTGCATGCCTTAACAGCTTTTGTTCGACCAGATAGAGGCGGCTAAACGGGCGTGGCACAGGCTAGAGAAGAGATGGAGTGATGTGGTACAAGAGGATGTGGAGCTGAGTGGACTTGCCAATAACTGGTACTTGCGGTGTCAAGATCAGCCTCTGTGGAGGAGGCTCGTTAAGGACGCTACTGGGCAGTTGGAGGCAGTCGCCCTCCAACAACAACGGAGGGCAGAAGAGCGACGCTCACAACAAAGAGCGGAGCGCCAGGTGGCTAAAGCACAGCAAGTTGGCACAGTAGGGGGCACAGGTGGTGCATCAGCCAGTCATCTCGGTCATCTCAGTCACTCGACCGGTGGCACCTGGGTCTGCCCCGTGACCTCCGACCAGCGGGCGTTCGACACTTGACATGGCTTCAACGTGCACATAGCCTGGCACAAGCGTCGTGGTGATTTCACCGCCACTTAGTGGCGAATGGCGGTTGTTGTTGTAGATGTGCACAGCAGCTGCGTTAGTGCCCATGTCTGTCATAATAATGGTAGTATTGTTGCTGGTAATGCTGATGATGATACTGCTGATGATCCTCCTGCTGATGTTGATGCTGATGGCGATGATGATGCTGATGCTGATGATGCTGACTGACGATGTGCACTGCAGGAGCTGTGCGATGACCCGCGTCTCTTCGTCGATGGCATCAGCGCCCACGACCTGCAGCAGGGCTCCCTGGGGAACTGCTGGTTCGTGGCGGCCTGCCTCCTGCCTCACCCTGCACCAGGAGCTCTGGACCAAGGTGAGCAGCAGCAGCAGCAGCAGCTGCAACTCCCCTCACCCCACAGAACCCTACCCCTAACCCATGACTGATAACCCTACCCCTAACATATCCCCTAACTGCGCCCCCCCCTCTCCCGTGGCCCCCCCCCCAGGTGATCCCCGACCACAAGGACCAGGAGTGGGACCCGGCGCACCCCGAGAAGTACGCGGGGATCTTCCACTTCCGCTTCTGGCGGTTTGGCGAGTGGGTGGACGTGGTGGTGGACGACTCGCTGCCCACGCACCGCGGCCGGCTACTCTTCTGCCACTCCAACACCAGCAACGAGTTCTGGTCGGCGCTCCTCGAGAAGGCCTACGCCAAGTGAGTGGAGGGGTCAGGGTTGGGAGGTGGGGGGGGGGGTTAGTCTTCTCGTGCTGATGCCACCACAACTGGAAGTGTTTTATCCACTGTCGTGCTCATGGCGATGCAGTGGATAGACCATGGCTGATAGTGATGATGATAGGGCTAGCAGTGGATAGACCATTGCTGGTGATGATGATGATATGGCCAGCAGGGCGTCCATGCGTGTCCATGCCTCGGCTATTTCCGTGCCCCCCATTGCATGTACGCTTGCGTGTTGAACTTCTTTCGCACCGTACGTAGTCATCCGTGCTAATCGGAGGTGAGGGAAGAGTGGATGTAGGGGTGGTCGTCTGGTGGTATAGTGCTGGTGATGGTGGTAGTAGTGGATGTAGTGATGGTGGTGTGGTGTTGGTGGTATAGTGGTGCATGTATGTTGAACTTCTTTTGCACTGTACCTAGCCAATCATGCTTATCTTAGGTGCGGGGGAAGGACAACAATACAAAAAGCAGTTCTAAAGAAGTAAGTTTTCAATCTAGATTATTTAAAAGTGCATAGCTCCGAGTGGTTTCCTAATGTCAGAAGGAAGAGCATTCCAGACGGCCGCAGACGCGTATATGAAAGCGCGCGATGCAGTGACCGTCTTTATTCGATGGCTAGCCAAAAGCCGCTGCGAGGATGGCCGAAGTTTGTGTGATGATATGCGCTCCTTGATGAGATCAGCAAGGTATTGTGGCTAATTTATGGCAAGCACTTTTTTATAATGAGTGCGACCTTATAACGTATTCGTTCGGCAACGGGTAGCCAATGCAGCTCGGCAAATACTTGCAGCACCCCGTCACGACAGACGCCAGAGGATTGTGTGGTAATGTTTTTGCCAGACATCCCGTAGAGTAGTGACTTGCAACAATCGTGCCTTGTAGACACCACGCTACACGCCACCGTGTTGGCTGTCACGACTCGGTCGTGGTTTGAATGTGCCGTAGAGCCCTCTTGTTGCAGTCCCCATATCTGTAACCTCGAGCAACTCTGTCTCGCTCTTCTTCGTGCCTATATACCCTAGTGATCGCGTCTTTGTCCGTGTCCCCACCACCATATCCTTGTTCCTTTGTCCCCATGTCTCTGCATCCCTGTGTTTTCATATCTCCACGTTCTTTTGTCCTTGTTTTCCCATGTCTTCATATCTCGATGTCCCTGTGTGGCCTTGTCTCCATGTCCCCCGTGCCCTTGTATCTCCATGCCCCCATGTCTTCATATTTACATGTCCCCGTGTCTTCATATCTCTATGTCCCCTTGTCTCCATGTCCCTCTTGTGTCGCGGTGGCGAGATGTCAACTCCTTCGCCTGGTGGATTCAATCCCGATCGTGAAGTCCGCATCTTTCTCTCTCTCCCTGCGATCGCGTGTGTTTTTCTCCGGGTCCTCCGGTTTTTCCCTCCACATTTAGAATCAACATGTGGTTTAGAGTATTGGCTGCGATAAATTTCGACATGGGCTATCATTTGTGAGAGCCAGGTTGCTTCTGAAAAAAAAGCTATATAGCTGGGTGAGCTTTACCTGCGAAATAAAATAGTTTAGTTTTAGTTTAGTCTATGCATCTCTGTAGCTCTATGGGTCTCAATGTTTCTCTCTGGGTCTTTATGCATCTCTATGGGTCTCTATGTATCTCTGGGTTTCTGTATCTGCACGGATCTCTCTGCATCTCTATGTATTAGAGTATTTGGCCGCTGCTATCATTGGGCTATCATTTATGATGGTCAGGTCGTTTATGAAGAAGAGCTACGGAGCTCAGGGTGCCGCGATGGTGAAATGTTAACTACCTCGCTTGGTATACAGGAGGTTGTGGGTTTGTTCCTGAATTTGTGTGTTCTCCCTGTGGTCGCGTGGATTTCTCTCCAGGTCCTCCAATTTGTTCCCCCACACTTAAAACCAACATGATGTGTTGAGATTATTTTGCTATACATTTCCACACAGCCTATCATTTGTGATGGCCAGGTCGCTTCTGAAAAATAACTACACAGCTCAGTGGGCCTTACCTGGTAAAATACAAATTCTTTATATTTCATGAGTTTTATCGTCCATCATCCCAGCGCGTGTGCCACGTCCCCCAGGCTGTGCGGCTGCTACGAGGCGCTGGATGGCGGCAACACGAGCGACGCCCTCGTGGACTTCACGGGCGGCATCTCCGAGTCCATCGACCTGGCCGAGGAGAAGTTCTCTGAGAAGGACGCGGAGAGAGCTGCGCTCTTCAGCAGCATGCTCAAGGCCTACGGGCGCGGCGGGCTGCTCAGCTGTTCCATACGCGTGAGCGCCAACCCCCACCGCCGCCACCGCAACCACCATAACCACCACAACCGCAGCAGCCGTGATCATAACAATGGCGAGTGTAACATCCGCGGTTCGTAACAATGCCGATCATCGACGGCGATCGTAATAATTGAAATTGTAACAACGACGGTCGTAATGGCGGTCGTAACAATGGCGGTCGTAACAATGGCGGTCGTCACAATGGCGGTCGCAACAACCGCGGTCGTCACAATGGCGGTCGTCACAACGCTGATCGTAATAACCGCAATCTTAACAACCGCGATCATAACCTCAACCACAATCATAACCATACCCACAATCTCAACGATAACCACTGTCATAATGAAAACCGCAATCATTACTGCAATCATAACCTAATCCTAATGGCAACCGAAATCATAACCACAATCATAACCAACGTCTCTGTGTATGGTATGTTCCTGTGTTAACAATACTGTATTAATGTTAATCATGTTTTGGTGTTACCGTGGTAACAATGGTGTTACCGTAGGTGCTGGCCTCCACAGAGATGGAGGTGTGCCTGGGCTGTGGCCTGGTTCTGGGCTAGGATAACAATGTCACCTTGGTGTTACCGTGGTAACTGTGGTATTACCGTAGGCTCTGGACTCGGTGGACATGGAAGCACGTCTGGACTGCGGCCTAGTGAAGGGCCAGGCTCACAGTGTCACCGTGGTGTTACTGTGGTGTTCCCGTGGTAACCGTGGTGCTACCATAGGCTCTGGCCTCGACAGAGATGGAGGCGCGTCTGGACTGCGGCCTGGTGAAGGGTCACGCGTACTCGGTGACCGCCGTGCGCCGCGTGCGGCTAGGCGAGGGCCTAGTCGCGTTCTTCCGCGCGGAGCGCCTCAACATGATCCGCATGCGCAACCCCTGGGGCGAGAAGGAGTGGAACGGGGCCTGGAGCGACGGGTGAGCATGCACCTCACCAACACTCACCTGTCCAGACACTCGCCCCTCCAGACGCCCACCTGTAGAGACGCTCACCTGTAGAGATGCTCACCTGTAGAGACGCTCACCTGTCCAGACACCTATATAGACACCTGTACACACATTCACCGCTACACTCACTCACACGTGCTCACACTCATTCACGCGTGCTCACACTCACTCACCCATACACACACTCACCGCCACACTCACTCACCCATACACACACTCACCGCCACACTCACTCACCCATGCTGACACCCACCCGTGTAAACACTCACCGTTACACCCACTCACCTGTGCACACACTCACCCGTACACACATTCACCTCCACACTCACTCACCTGTATGCCTACTCAGCACTACACTCACTCACCCGTGCTCACACTCACAGCTACACCCACTCACCTAAGCTTACACTCGCCCATCCGTATGCACACTCACCGCTTCCCTCACTGCTACACTCACTCACCCGTGCTCACACTCACTCACCGGTGCTTACACTCACTCACCCGTGCAACAACAACAACCGCCATTCGCCACTAAGTGGCGGTGACATCATCACGATGTTTGAACCAAGCTATGTGCACGTTGAGGCCACATGAAGTGTCGAACGCCCGCTGGCACGAGGTCACGGGGCAGACCCAGGTGCCACGGGTCGACTAACTGAGATGACTGGCTGATGCACCACCTGTGCCCTCTACTGTGACAACTTGCTGTGCTGTAGCCACCCGGCGCTCCGCTCATGGTTGTGAGGGTCAATCCTCCACCCTCCGTTGTTGCTGGAGGGCGACTGCCTCCAACTGCCCAGTAGTATCCTTCATGAGCCTCCGCCACAGAGGCCGATCTTGACACCGCTGGTACCAGTCATCGGCAAGTCCACTCAGCTCCACATCCTTCTGTATCACATCACTCTATCTCCATCTCTTCTCTAGCCCGTGCCACGCTCGTTTAGCCCCCTCGATCCGGCCAAACAAAAGCTGTTTAGGCATGCGGTGGCTGGGCATGCGGGCTACATAACACAGCCAACGCAGCCTTGTCTGCCGAAGGAGCTCACCGATGGGACTTTATCCAGATATTTTAAGGATTTGTGAGCTCCTCACACAATCCAGCCTGGCTAAACCCAGAATGGATCGTTGGCAGGCCAGCCTAAATGTTTCTAACCATCTAAGATGTTCCATTAGGGGGGTCCACGTTTCGCAAGCATAGAGAAGGGAGGAAATGACTGTGGCCGAAAAGACCTGAAGCTTCATGCGGAGCGACAGACCAGGTAGTTTTCCACACAGTGTTACGCAACTGATGAAAAGATAATGCCGCTCGACTGATTCGGAGTGAGACCTCTGCTGTCAAACCGAAGCTGTTCATCAGCACACTGCCCAGGTATGGGAAACTTTCCACGCTCTCTACAACTGTGCTATCACCAATTGGGAGTTGTGGGGGTGGAGTGTCCAATGGTACAAAATACCCAGGCAGGTGCTTAGTTTTGTTGGGGAGGTACAGCCTCCGGGCTATCGTACCTAGTCACTCTGACTCCTCTAGCCCTCTGGCTGGCTAAACCTAGGGGAGGCTGACCCACCGCTGGCCCGGTGGGTCCCTGACCACTGGCCCGTCTAGACCTGGCCCTTAGAAGGACATCGAGCCGAGGGAACCTCAGGGTCCTAACCCTCTCGATCACTGGCACCGCACTGCGCTCCGGCCCTTCGAAGGACGTCGGTGGCTTGGGGTCCAGGGCCTTGTCTCCAGGCGGCTTCTGAATTCGGCTTGAGACGAACTCCCTCACGCTCTCAGGGACCCGCTTTATATACTCTTTCTCCCTGAGGGGCGGGGTTCTGTGGGATCGTAGCTTCCCCCAGCCCCCTCCCCTCAGAGGGGTTCTAACCGCCGTTGGCCCGACCGGTCCGGACCGGTTTCTACCGCTCCCCACCGAGAGGCGGGGGATTCTGTGGGATCATAGACACTGCCCACAGCCCCCTCCCCCCGGCGGGTCCCGGCCAGGAGTACACAACTATCCCATACCGGTAAGCATCCCCTGGTTCTGGCGCGCGTGTGTGTGTCAACATGACCACCACACCACTATGGGTTTTAATGGTTTTCTGGGTGTACATCCACCACCGGAGTGGAAGAGTGGCAAGCGCATCTTATAGATGACAAGTCGATGGTCGGTGGGCAGATCGGCTCCACGGTAGGTCCTGGTGTCAAGGACATGGGCCCGAATCCGTTGTTTTGTCACGATGTCGTCCAGCAGATGTGCTTGCTTGGACCCGGCATGTATCCATGATGTTGTGTGGATGCGCGAATGCCAGAACATCGTGTTGGTAATTACAAGCCCATGGGGCTGCACAAAAATATAGCAGCCTCCTGCCGTTTTTATTGAGCTGACCTGGCCCATGCCTTCCAATCACTCCAGACCAGGTGCCAGCATCATGACCAGCTTGGGCATTGAAGTCACCCAACAATATGACTCTATCCCGAGGGGCCACTTTAGCTAGCACCTGTCTCACTCACCGCTACACTCACCCACCCATGCTCACACTCACCGCTACACTCACCCACCTGTGCTCACACTCACCGCTAAATCTGTACGATCATTGACCGACGCAAGCGCTCGTGATAACAATTCCTCCTCCTGTCCTCCCTCCCCTGCCCTTCTCCCTGCCCTTAACTTCACCTCTCCCTTCCTGACCCTGCCCCCCACTGCCCCTCCCCCCTCCCTCTGCATCTCCCCTTGCCCCCTGCCCCCTCCCACTGCCCCCTCCCCCTGCCCCCTCCCCCTGATCCCTCCCCCACTGCCCCCTCCCCCCTCCCTCTGCATCTCCCCCTGCCCCCACCCCCTCCCTCTGGCCCTCCCCCTCACCTTGCTCCCCCCTGCCCCCTCCCCCTGACCCAGCTCCGAGGAGTGGGCTCGTGTCAACAAAGGCGAGAGAGAGAAGCTCGGCGTCACCGTTTCCGATGACGGAGAGTTTTGGTAAAAAATAAAACACTCAGCAGAACCCACACCTAGGTTGACTCAGCCTTAAATAAACACCCAGCACGCTGGGGAGGCGAAGGTGGCGGGGCGGGCGTGGTGCTGGCTACACGTGTGTGTGTGTGTGTACACGTGTGTGTGTGTGTGTACACGTGTGTGTGTGTGTGTACACGTGTGTGTATATACACGTGTGTGTGTGTGTATACACGGTGGTGTAGCGGTTAGTGCGCTGCGCTACGAACCTGGTGACCCGAGATCGATTCCCGCTCACAGCCATCAACACCAGTGACCATTATCTGCACCAATCCTGGGCCTTCCCTAGGTTGACTCAGCCTCAAATGAGTACCTGGTGAGGTGTGTAAACATCTCCACCCACTCGGGAGACAAAGGCGGCCGGGTGTGGTGTTGGCCACCCACCCCCTCGTGTGTTATGCCGGCCTTCATAAGTGCTCGCTAACTGCACTTGCCCCAACAGTCTGTTGAGGCTATACGGGGAGATGTTTTCTTTGTATATACATGTGTGTGTGTATGAGTGTATATGTGTGTGGGGCAGTTGTGGAGAGAGTGGAGAGGTTTCCATACCTGGGCAGTGTGCTTATGACCACCTGCGGTTTGACAGCAGAGGTCTCGCTCCGAATCAGTCGAGCGGCATTGTCTTTTCATTGCGTCCATGAATCGAGTACCAACCACGTTGTCGCAAAGGTAACAGCGGTTGTCCTGTGGAGAGGCTCTCCTCCCTCCGTCATAGGAATATGGAATTTCCACCACTGGCTCTGCGGGGCTTTAAACGGGCGATGAGCACCAATGCCTCTGCTCGTTGGGGCCGCAGTAGATCACTTTGACGCCTTTCGCTTCATCAACTGTGAAGCTATCACCATCGTCAACCGTGGTCAGTCCATTGCTGGATGAAGGCCTCCTCAAGGCGGCACCATGTCTCGTGATACATCACAAGGCCAAGATCCCACCGTGTAGAGTTCACAGACTGCTGGGGCAAGTGCTGTTAGGGAGTAGGGGTGGGTGGCCAGCACCACGCCCGGCCGGCCGCCTTTGTCTGCCCGGTGGCAATGTTTACACACCTCACCAGGTACTCATTTGAGGCTGAGTCGATCTAGGGGAGGCCCAAGACCGGTTCAGACATCCGTCACTAGTGCTGGTGGCCGTGGGCGGGAATATAACTTGCACGCACACCAATAGTTCAACAAACACGCACACACAAAGACTCAGTTCTTATCACACCCGCTGCTCGTTTTGTGTATTAACATTTGTAGTAAGTTGATGAGGAGACGATGAGGAAGTTGAGACACACTGTTTATTAACTCCGGGACAGATACAATAGTTGAAGGGGTATCGGCCCCTTCACCCGTACTATGGGAAACCCACCCTAGTACTAAGCCCTCTGTCCTGTCCCCCAGTCCTCCTCTACTGGGCTACGGGAGGCTGACTGATCTGGCCCTGGCAAGCACAGATCTCGGCACCAGCTAACCAGCCTTGCCCTGATAAGGGCAGCGGTCTGGAAGCTCTTGGGCCGCGCCACTGGCTTACCCGGCTCGGCCCTTATAAGGACGGCGAGACCGGGGAGTCCCAGGGCCTAATCTCCGAGTCTTGGATCTTCACTGGTCAGCTTCGTGTCGAACTGCCTCGAGCTCTTTGGGTTCCACCTTTTATAGGGATCGCCTCCGAGGGCTGGGGGCGTGGGCAATAACTGATGCGGACGTCGGTGTGACCCCCCGTGTATGTGAGTGCCGACAGCCCTGCGTTTGTTGTCCGCCGTTTCTCCCGTAATAACCCCTACATCACCCCCCCCTGTACAGCTCGCAGCCGTCCCGGCTGCAACAATCCCTCAACCCCCAAGAATAAAGATTAACACCGTCAATACACGTGTGCCTCGTAACAGTAACAATAACAAGAACAAGCGTAACATCAACCGATGGTTCCCTAAAAAAAAAACCCCCCACCTGGAACCGCAACACATATACAGAACGGTATAACAGCACATGCAATCAGCATATCGCGATCACACGCGTACATTGAAGCACAATAGCAAGCAAATCTGCAGGCGACCAACACACCATCAATCCCGTCGTAACTTTTCAACCACAACACAGTTATTCCCTCTCACGCAACGACCGCATCGCACACAGCACCTCGCAGCATAATACAGCCCAAAAAAAATTGTTTTTTTTCAATTAAGCCCATCGCGCACGGTGACCCACGAGATGGTACAGCACAGGATACCCGACGCTCCCACGTTAATAATTAACTTTACCATCAAGATAACAACTCCACGCAGCAGCGCACACACTCCCTTTGAAACTCAGCAACCACAGCAGACTCTCCGTCCATTCCCAATACACGCACACACTTACATGGACAGCAAGCAACAAGCAGATAGCGTGGTCATCGTTATTACACACACATACAACCATTAAAAAAACATATATACAATGAGCGGGTTCCGCAGCAACGGAACACGCGCGGAAAGCTAATCATAACAACCGGCGCGTTTTGGCGCGAGTCCGTGCAGCGGGCCCGTCACAAGGGGCCGGCTTGGTAGAGTCAGTGGCAGGTGTCGCATCAGCAGGTGCCTGGTCGTCCGGTTTCCCGGACGTGCCAGCGCCGCCCCCCACGGGGGAGGCTGGCAGCCCAGAGGGCTTCAGTCCTGGGGCTCCTGAAGACGGGACAGTCATTAGTGGATCAGAGGCTGGCATCGATCCCGCCCCCCCGGAGTCAGAGGACTCCCCACATGTTCGGCCATTTACGTGGGAGGAAGCGTGCGGAGCAAAAAATGGCTTTAACCGTGAAGGGTGCACAAACCACCGACGCTTCCCCCACTTAATGCGCACACATTGAGGCCGCACAACCTGCACAATTTCAACGGGGCCCCTCCATGGTCGCAACAACTTAGCCGAGGTGGCCAATGGCACCTGAGGGCAGTGCAACCATGCTCGGTCGCCCGGGTGCCATTCGTGCGTGTGAGTCCGGCGCGACCGCAATCTCTCGTTTTGTTTCTGGCGAGAGTCAGAGTTTTGCATGGCCGCCTGCCGTGCCTCCGCCAAGCGAAGGATGTTAAATTTAACATGGTCGGCGATTTTCGACTTAGCATGAGGCGCGGCAATCGTCAGCTGAGTCGCGACAGGCGGGTCAACCTCGCGACCATACATAAAAAAAAATGGCGAGAACCCGGTCGCCGCGTGAGGAGCCATCCTGTATGCCGCCAGGACTCCCCCGATCCGTAGATCCCAATCGTTTTGGGACTCAGATACCTGGTGGGATAGCATGGACGTAAGAGTCCTATGCAAGCGTTCCACCATCCCATCCGTTTGTGGATGGTAAGGTGAGGTACGAACTTTCTTTGTACCCAGAAGGCCACATACCTCGTGTAAAAGGGTACTAGTGAAATTCTTTCCCTGATCGGTCAACAACCGTTCCGGAGCGCCTTTGTCGAGGACGTAGCCCTGAACAAAAGCCTCCGCAACGGCCGCTGCGGACTGGTTGGCGAGGGGCCAAGCCATAGGCCATCGCGTGAAATATTCCACGCCAACCAGCAGGTACTTATTACCCCTCGGCGTGGAAGGAAACGGTCCCAAAATATCAAGGGCGACCAGCTCGTTAACCCGGGTGACCGAAATGGACTGGAGCGGTGGACTGGCTCCCTTCGCCGGCGGCTTCCGTTGTGCACACTGGGTACAGGACCGCAGCAGATCGTCCACGTCTCTTGCCATGCCCGGCCAAAAGTAATTAAGCTGGAGCATGGCAAGTGTTTTGAGGGTACCCAGGTGCAGGAGCCGTTCATGAGCAGCCCATACAGCCCTACCCCTCAACGTGGAAGGCACCACCAGCCTGTGACGGCGGATCGTCCCGTCCCAATGCATGAGTAAGCCCTGGCACCACCCCCATGAGTCAACGCCCGACTTCCCTTGACCTGATCCTTCCGTGCGACGTCGTAGCGCCAGGAGGGTCGCATCCTCCATTTGGAGGCGACCCCACTCAGTACTTGACAAGCCAAGTAGGGAATCACTCCCACCCTCCGAAATAGGACCAGCGTCCGAAGGAGTATCAACTGCGGCCGCAAGAACCCGATCCCGGCCGTCACTTGCCGATTTGCAACGGCCCGAACCCAAGAAACAAGTGCAATCCGGGGCGATCGGCAGGCGTGATAGGGCATCGGCGTTGGTGTGGCGAATCCCCTTCCGGTAAGTTGTCTCAAAATCGAAATCCTGCATGATCTCGAGCCATCGGGACAACTGCCCCGATGGCTGGTTAATTCGTAGGGCATACTGCAACGCTGCATGATCTGTACGGACGGTGAAATGCCGGCCGTACAGATATGGCCGGTACTGTTGGATAAAGAACACGATAGCCAACAGTTCGCGGCGGGTGACGCAGTACCGCTGCTCGGCCGGGGACAGTACTCTACTACCATAAGCCACAACGCGCTCCACGCCACCCACAATTTGTGACAGCACGCCTCCAATCCCGGTATTGCTTGCGTCCGTGTCGAGCACGAACGGCATGGAAAAATCGGGGTAGCTTAACGGCGGGGCCCCCACCAGGGCATCCCGAAGAGAGACAAAAGCGGCGTTCTCCACCGGCCCCCAATGAAATTTGACCCCTTTTGACGTCAAGGCATGTAGTGGCTTAGCGATGGAAGCAAAGTCCGCAACAAACCGGCGGTAATATGAAGCAAAGCCGATGAAGCTTCTAACCTCCCCCACCGAGGTGGGAATAGGCCAGGAGCTGACACAACGCGTTTTGGCGGGATCGGTTGAGATACCTGACCGGCCGACGATGTGACCCAAATATTTAACAGATTCGCGCAGCAAATGGCACTTTTGTGGCTTGAATTTCAAATTAGCAGCGCGCATTTTGAGAAAGACGGCCCGAAGCCTATCAAGGTGTTCCTCGAACGTCTTACTGAATACGATAACGTCATCCAGGTAAATCAAACACACCTCCCATTGCAAGCCAGCGAGGACCAATTCCATCAGGCGCTGGAACGTCGCGGGAGCAGAGTGTAATCCCATGGGTAAGCGATTGAATTGGAAGAGGCCGTGCGGCGTTCGGAAAGCTGTTTTGGGCCTAGATTCGTCGTCCAAGGGAAGTTGCCAAAATCCTGAGAGCAAATCCAAAGTGGAAAAGAATCGCGATCCCGCGAGGGCATCCAGCGATTCGTCCATTCGAGGAAGCGGATAAGCATCGGCCACCGAGATCTTATTTAATCGCCGGAAATCAACGCAGAACCTTAGGGACCCGTCGTGCTTTTTGACCAACACTATGGGTGCACCCCAAGGGCTGGTCGAGGGAGAAATGATGTCCGATTTCAACATGTCATCTACAGCCGATTTGACATGATCCTTTTCGGCGGGACTTAACCGAAAAGGATTTTGGCGGATAGGAGCGTTGTCACCGGTGTCAATATGGTGGCGTAGCAATTTGGTACATCCGATATCGTATTTGTGTTTACTGAAGACGTCGGAAAATTCTCGCAATAAGGCGCGTAATCTAGCACGTTGTGCGTCAGACAGGTCAGGTGACTCAGCACACAACGCATCCAGCCAAACCTCGTCAGCGTCTGAGGCTAATCGCGTTTGAGAATCGGTGGCCACCTGGCCAATGATCGGCGTTTCCGCAGGTACCGGAACCGCATGTGCGAATACGGTACCTTGCGAAACCACTGCCGTCCGTGTCCCGACATTGAGGACCGCGATAAACGGGTCCCCATCCCCTTTAACAATAGTCTGGGCCGTCACCAGATCTGGCCCACTCACCCCGGCTCTAGATGGTCCCAAAATAACGCCCCGGTCAGAGACTCCTTTATCGAACGGTCGACGCAAGCGCAGGGGTACCAACATCTGTGCCCCCGGGGGTACACGCACCGTCCGAGCAACAAGCGCCTGTACCGTAGCACAGGCAACACGCAAGGCAGGGGTGGCAGGTAGGAACGTCATACGTCGGCCCGATGGAAGCTCGATGCATTGCTGGTCAATCAGAATTTTGATGGGCAATTTGGCCAAAAAGTCTGTCCCCAACAGGCACGGAATAGCCAGCGAGGAGGAGACGAACACCGGGCCAGATAGTTTAATGTCCCCTATCGAAATTTGCGCTCGAATTTGACCGATAATACCCAACGAGCCCCCATTCGCAGCGTAAAACGGTATATCGACAGGGAGCAACGGGCGACTCTGAACGGGCAGGATATTATAAATCAAATCTGAAATGATAGTTGCCGAAGCTCCCGTATCGACCAATAGCCGTACCTCCACCCCGTCAATATGCCCCGCGACAACGGACGACCCCGCTGATGCAGCCACAACTCGGTGAGCCAACTCGGACCATTGGCCCGGTTGGAGCGCCCTCCCCGACATGCCGCGACCCGACGCACCAGCACCCAACCCCCGAGAATTGTGTATCGGACCATGTGATAGGAAAGTGGGTGTGTGTGCAGGCCGAACATGTGGGGTGCCATGACTTGCCCGAGGATGTTGCGAAGGCTTGTGAGGAGGGCCGTCCGCAGCTCCAGGTCTCGCACCGCGCTGTCGAGGAGCCCGGCATCCGGACGCCACGTGGCCCCGGAGGCCACAATTATAGCAGACGACGAGCGTTCCAGAGGACTTGGGCTGGTCTCGGTGGCTTGGAACGTCCCGAGCCGGTCGCTCGGCAGATCGCCATCCTGCAGAACGATCCGCAGCGAAGGCTCCCTCCATTCCAGAAGAGGTTGCCGCCACGGTGTGTCGTGCAGCAGCTTTGTTCGCCTTCCTCCGCTGGGAGATGAGATTGGCGTGAATGTGCCTTGCAGCCCGCAGTGATGACATATCCGCATCGTCCTGCGCTAAGATGGTGAAGTCCAGATCGTCAGCCAGCAGCAAAATTTTCTCGGCCACCATCGCATCGATCCCCTCTTCATCCATACGCGGGAAAGCGTCTTTCGCCAATGACAGCAGGGCCGTGCGATAAGCGAGTGGCGATTCCTTATCACCCTTCTGCCATTCATAGAAGAGCTGGCGACAATCGGAGGGCGGCCCATAAACGGTGGCCAGCAGCTGCAGCGCCGACTGAATGGTGGAGCGTGCCGACTTGGGTGCAGCAGTGAGGGTGCCCAGGGCGTCGCCGTCCAATAACGCCGGGAGAGCACACAGCGCCTCGTTGTCCGACCAGCCTGCCATCTCTTGGTGGGCCAAGAACCGGCGCTGGAACCCCCCCCAATCGCCGTCGCTTGCAACAAATACCTGCAGGGCCGGCAGGCGTTGCTGGAATGTCGGCTCCGTCTCCGATCCTCTTGCAGCGTCTCTTGCAGCATCCGTAGCGCGTCCCCGTACTGTATGGTCGGTGCTGGCGTCAGCTGGTGGTGACGTTTCAACCCCTGATAGGCCGCCACCGCGACCCGCCTCCGCCGATGACGTGGCGGCTGCTGGCTGGGCACCGTCTCCCGCGTGACGAGCTGGGACTCCTCCCTCCGCCCCTACTGTCTTCGTGGCGGGATTTTCGAGTCGCCCCGCTGTTGTAAAGGCGGGAGTTTCTGGCGGGCGTTGTCCATCTTCCCGCCGCGTCGCTCCTCCCGGCCCCAGGCGAGTTATTTGTTCCAGCATAGCGGCCGCTGCATACAAGAGCTCCGCCAGCCGCGAGTGAGCCAACGCCAACTCGTCAGTCGACGTCCCGGCCCTCTCCGACGACCCCGCCGATGTCGGAGCCGGCAGCAGTTGTGCAGGTACGTCGGCGGCGATGTCTTGCACTGCCCCTCCCTCGTCGTCATCCTCTCCTGGGTCTTGGGCACGAGTCTTCCGTCTCGTATCCATGCTTGGACCACTTCCAACACCAGATGTAGTAAGTTGATGAGGAGACGATGAGGAAGTTGAGACACACTGTTTATTAACTCCGGGACAGATACAATAGTTGAAGGGGTATCGGCCCCTTCACCCGTACTATGGGAAACCCACCCTAGTACTAAGCCCTCTGTCCTGTCCCCCAGTCCTCCTCTACTGGGCTACGGGAGGCTGACTGATCTGGCCCTGGCAAGCACAGATCTCGGCACCAGCTAACCAGCCTTGCCCTGATAAGGGCAGCGGTCTGGAAGCTCTTGGGCCGCGCCACTGGCTTACCCGGCTCGGCCCTTATAAGGACGGCGAGACCGGGGAGTCCCAGGGCCTAATCTCCGAGTCTTGGATCTTCACTGGTCAGCTTCGTGTCGAACTGCCTCGAGCTCTTTGGGTTCCACCTTTTATAGGGATCGCCTCCGAGGGCTGGGGGCGTGGGCAATAACTGATGCGGACGTCGGTGTGACCCCCCGTGTATGTGAGTGCCGACAGCCCTGTGTTTGTTGTCCGCCGTTTCTCCCGTAATAACCCCTACACATTGACGAATCTGGGGGTCTCTCTCCCTCCCCCCACCACCTCACCCCCGCTCCCCTAGGATGACGTTTGATGATTGGTGCAAGCACTTTACAGACCTCGTGGTTTGTCGGTGAGTGGCATCATCATCATCATCACATGTCTCTGTGCCTCATCAACACATCATACCAGTCCCCGTGTCTCTGTGTCTCCGTGTCCCTGTATCGTCTCTGTGTTTCAGCATCATCAACACGTCGTACCTGTCCCCATGTCTCCGTGACTCCGTGACTCTGTATTCCCGTGTCTCCCTGTCTTCATCTCTCCGTGTCTCCATGACCCCGTATATCCGCGTCTCCGTATCTCCGTGTCCCCATGTCTCTGTGTCTCTGTGTCCCCATGTCTCTAGGTCCCCGTGTCTCCGCATCATTAACACGTCGCACCTACCCCCGTGTCTCCGTATCCTCGCCTCTCAATGTCTCCTTGTCCCCGTTTCCCCGCGTCTCAGCATCATCAACACCTCGTACTTCAGCTTCCACAAGACGTGGGAGGAGGTGATGCTGCGGGGCCAGTGGCGTCACCACGACGACCCCCACACCAACCGCGCGGGCGGCTGCATCAACGACCGCACGCTCTTCCTGCAAAACCCACAGGCATGAGGGGCAGGGGGGGCACATTGGGGGGCGGGAGGGGGGGAACGGGGGACATGGTGGCACACGGAGACATGGGAGACTCAGGGATGCGTGGAGGAGCATGGACTTGGGAACACATGGGGGGCACGGGGGGGTGGGCATGGGGGGAGGCATACGGGAGACACGGAGTAACCTGGTCATGCATGCGGTGATACTGCTGATGATGATATTAATGCTGCTGCTGATAATGATATTAATACTGCTGATGCTGATAACGATGATGACGATGATATTAATACTATATCATGGGACCTTTTTGCTAGTATCACCACAAGTACCGTGTGATTAATGCAGACTTGATTCATTGCAAGAGGTATCTCTTTGGTTTTTTTTTTTGACTCTTTTGGTAAAGTCACGTAGAATTTTTTTAAATTAAATAATAGCATACGACGTTTCGATTGCAACACAAGCAACCATCATCGGGTACAAATGAATGAGAAAACAAACATAGTGTAGTGAGTCCAACTGAGTCGCAGACGTTGTCTTGGGAGCAACACTTTTTATTCAATAAATCAACATAACACAACACAACCTACACTTGGGTGTTGAATGCCCATCTCACCACGCTACGGCAGAACTAGACACGGTTCACTATCCCGGCCCGGACCACGAGCTGGGTCCCGGACCGCGTGGCTAGAGGCTTCTTTTACCCGACGTGTATCTTCATCACCAGCAACACGAAGAACCCCGAGCCTCTCACGGGGCCCCCGTCATATCGGCCCGGGCTGGGGCTGACTCCGCCCCTCGCCCCGCCCACCTTCTAGATCTCTCGAGCTCTTTCCCAAAGGCTCCCCGAGAGCTCCTTTATACCACGTGACCGCCCAGCGGCCCCCTTCCACCGGTGGCCCCCCTCCAACATCATCCAGGTCACTTGTCGGCAGGTCAACCGGCGTATCATGCCCCAACGTAACCCTGGCTGGCTGACACCCCCTCTCACTTTCTCACTGGGAGCCTGCACCTCACACTGTACGTGGTGCCTCGCTAGGGCTGGTACTACACCCAGTAAACGGGCTGCACGTAATGCCAACACATTATCCGCCGTGGCTTGGTAAGCCCGGCACCACACAGTGACAATCACAGTCACTACAATAGTAAACTTGGAGATATAATGCAATACAACACAGAGAGTCGGCCAACACAACAGTCAACACCCCACCTGGTTGATTACGTTCCTCCAAAGATTGTTCCAGAGATTCACACATAGGCACACAGAAATACGTCTCTGTGTCGAGGCCTTAAAAAGAGAGAGGGGGGGGGGCAGAGGGGGAGTTGTGTGGAATTCCTGCCCAAAGCGGACGGACGAGCTGGGCACTGTGTGAGTCTCTCTCTGCTTGTGTGTCCATCTGTCTGTGTGTCTATGTTTTGTCTCTCTCTCAAATTTAGCAATCTTTGGAGGAACGCAATCAACCAGGTTGGGTGTTGACTTGTGTTGGCCGTCTCTCTGTGTTGTATTGCATTGTATTTCCAAGCTCACTATGTTTGTTTTCTCATTCATTTGTACCTGATGATGGTTGCTTGTGTTGCAATCGAAACGTCGTATTCTATTATTTAATTTAATTTCTTTCTACGTGACTTTACCGAAAGAACGAAAGAATAACATCTATTTGGTGTTTGAACATCTTCACACAACTGTTGTACTATTGCCAGAAAGGGTAAAACCTATTCTTATTTTTCACACGATGATATTAATGCTGCTTCTGATGACGCCGATGGCGATGTTAACGCTACCCGATGCAACTGCCGCCACCTTGCGAGCGCAGTTCGTGTTCGACGTGAAGAAGGAGACGGACGCCATCCTCGTGTCCCTGCAGCAGCGCGACCGCCGGGAGCACCGCAAGGAGGGCGCCGGAGAGAACCTGGCCATGGGCCTCGAGATATTCAGGGTACGGGGCCCGCTCCACCCCTAACACTAACGCCAGCACCTGGCCATGGGCCTCGAGATATTCAGGGTACGGGGCCCGCTCCACCCCTAACACTAACGCCAGCACCTGGACATGGGCCTCGAGATATTCAGGGTACGGGGCCCGCTCCACCCCTAACACTAACGCCACCACCTGGCCATGGGCCTCGAGATATTCAGGGTACGGGGCCCGCTCCACCCCTAACACTAACGCCAGCACCTGGCCATGGGCCTCGAGATATTCAGGGTACGGGGCCCGCTCCACCCCTAACACTAACGCCAGCACCTGGACATGGGCCACGAGATATTCAGGGTACGGGGCCCGCTCCACCCCTAACACTAACGCCAGCACCTGGCCATGGGCCTCGAGATATTCAGGGTATGGGGCCCGCTCCACCCCTAACACTAACGCCAGCACCTGGCCATGGGCCTCGAGATATTCAGGGTACGGGGCCCGCTCCACCCCTAACACTAACGCCAGCACCTGGACATGGGCCACGAGATATTCAGGGTACGGGGCCCCCTCCACCCCTAACACTAACGCCAGCACCTGGCCATGGGCCTCGAGATATTCAGGGTACGGGGCCCGCTCCACCCCTAACACTAACGCCAGCACCTGGACATGGGCCTCGAGATATTCAGGGTACGGGGCCCGCTCCACCCCTAACACTAACGCCAGCACCTGGACATGGGCCTCGAGATATTCAGGGTACGGGGCCCCCTCCACCCCTAACACTAACGCCAGCACCTGGACATGGGCCTCGAGATATTCAGAACCGGTTCTTGACCACCCCTCGGTCAACTCAACCACAAATGAGTACCTGGTCCGGTGTGTAGTTAACATCGTCACCGGGGGGACAAAGGCGGTCGGGCGTGGTGGTGGTACCCACCCGACCACCCCCCTCCGTGTGACGGTCTTCATAGGCGGCCGTTACTCATGAAGAGAGCACTTACCCCTACAGCCTGTTAAGGGCTACACGGGGTGGTGGGCGCTGGTAGTGGGGGATGTCAGTGGGGATCCCACCTTCTGCCTTTAACTTCCGCAGGTGGAGCAGAACCGCAAGTACCGCGTGCACACGATCCAGGAGAAGATGGCCGAGTCGGTGTACATCAACTCATGCAGCGTGTTGATGCGCAAGGAGCTGCCGCAGGGCCGCTATGTGGTGGTGCCCACCACCTTCCAGCCGGCAGAGGAGGGAGACTTCCTCCTCCGCGTCTTCACCGACGTCAAGTCCCAGTGCCGGTAACTAGCCGCCGGGAGCGGGAGGGGGGGACCTCGGGGTGGGGGATGTGGGGGGTGGGGGCGCAAGGGAGGGTGGAGGAGTGGGCAGTTCTGGGATTTTAAGCGTTTTAAATATGCCCCCCCCCCCGCCTATTTAAATAGGACCTCCTAGTTAAATACTCCACCCTATTTAAATAGGCCCCACTAGTTAAATACTCCCCCCTATTTAAATAGGCCCCACTAGTTAAATACTCCCCCCTATTTAAATAGGCCCCACTAGTTAAATACTCCCCCCTATTTAAATAGGCCCCACTAGTTAAATACTCTCCCCTATTTAAATAGGCCCCACTAGTTAAATACTCCCCCCTATTTAAATAGGCACCACTAGTTAAATACTCCCCCCTATTTAAATAGTCACCCTCCCCCTATGTAGCCCCCACCCCTATTTAAATAGGGCCACCCCATATTCATAAAGCAAATGCCATTCAATCTGCGTCCTCCGTGACGTCACTTAAAATACGCGACCGCTTCATCAGAAGTAATCACCGGCCATATAAAGAACGGAATAGATCTTACCTATAAAAGTCAATTTTTGTCTGTCTCTCTGTCTATCTGTGCACACCTTGCAATGCTTTTAACTGACTAACGGTTGGGTTTACACTTCAACAAAGTACACATACAATGCGCTAAGCCCCCACTATTTGTTTTTCCCCTCCTTCTAATGTAAACGAATTCAATCACACTTTATAACTATGTATTATTACGCTGACCGTGGCGCCAAAGCACGCATCTGCGCATGCACGGAAACGCTGACTCGTGGTTGCTCCTGGCAATGCACACGAGCTCGCTCAGCGGCGACGTGACCCTGGTTTTCCTTCGCGTTAAAAAAGGTGAAAAATCACACCGAAGCACAACACTGAGGTAAATTCTGAAGAGTGTGTCCTCTTCTCTCCCCCCACCACCTCAATGTGCAGTTACTACTATAGAGTTAGTAAATACTACGACAGAGTCGGTCTATACTACTGCAGTCAATAGATACTACGGTAGAGTCGGTACATACTACAATGGAGTCGGTAGGTATTACTACAGTCATGAGATATGACTGTAGATTCAGTAAATACTACTATAGAGTCAATAGATGCTACTGTAGTGTGGGTAGATGCTACTGTTGAGTCAGTAGTTATGACTACAGAGTCGGTAGATACTACTGTAGTCGGTAGATACTACTGTAAATTCGGTAGATGCTACTGTAGTCAGTAATGATTATAGAGTCGGTAGATACTACTGTAGAGTCGGTAGATACTACTGTAGAGTCGGTAGGTACTACTGTAGAGTCGGTAGATACTAGTCAGTAGATACTACTGTAAACTCAGTAGTTACTATTGTAGAGTCGGTAGTTACTACTGTAGAGTCGGTAGTTACTACTATAAGAGTCGGTAGTTACTACTGTAGAGTCGGTAGATACTACTGCAGTCAATAGATACTATTGTAGGTTTCGATAGATACTACTACAGTCCGTAGATACTCCTGTAGAGTTGGTAGATACCACTACAGTCGGTAGATACCACTACAGTCAGTATATACTCCTGCAGCCAGTAGATACGACTAGAGTCAGTAGATACTGCTATAGAGGCAGCAGATACTCCTATAGAGTTAGTAGTTACTACTAGTGAGTGGATACTACTATAGTCAATAGATACTATAGATTCAGTCGATACTACTATAGTCATGAGATACTACAGTCGATTGATACTACTGTAGAGTCGGTTGATACTGTGGTCAATAGATACTACTACAGTCAAAAGTTACTACTATAGTCAGTAAATACTACTGTAGTGTGTGTAGACACTACTGTCAGTAGATACTACTATGCAGCCAGTAGATACTATGTCAGTAGATACTACTGTAGAATCAGTGGATACTACTATCATCAGTAGATACTACTATAGAGCCAGATGCTACTGTAGAGTCAGTAGCTCCTACTGTGGAGTCAGTAGATACTACTATAGAGTCAGTAGATACTACTATAGAGTCACTAGATAATACTGTAGTGTTAGCGGAGTGGGAGACAAGGTTCTTGAGGAGGCACCTTTATTCAACACTTCAAGTTCACAGGTTTGCCGCAGCTTCTCCCAAGTCATCTAGCCTGGCCTTAACACAATCCTGACCGTGTTACACTGACGGCGACGACCGAGACGGCCAACAACTATCCGGCCGCGCAGCGCAATATTTCGTGAAGGCAGCGACAAAGGTGGCGAAGACATCGACGACGAGACGAGTCCACTTCCCAGAATCGGCAGCCACCAGTTCCTGCTCTCCACCGCTTTTATGCTACTCGGCGGGGCCTGGCTCCGCCCTGTCCGCGCCTCCCTTCTCAAACCCACTAGCGGGTTCCAGGGGCTTCCAAATGGGGTCCTCCCTGACCCTTGCCCCAGTTCCTCCGCCCTGCCGACACAGCCGCGTCTATGCTCACCGGCGTGTGTACTGCTCGTCCACCACAGTTGCCATTGCTGGACAACAGACGGCGCTATTACACACTACAATAGAATCACGAGATGCTACTTTAGAGTCAGTAGGTACTTCTATAGAGTCATTAGATATTACTGACTCTATTGTATGTAGGGTGTGTAGGTGTCTATACCTACAAAATAAAAATTGGCTGGGGGGGTAAAAAGATTTTTTGGGGGGGGGGGGGGGGTCGACAATTTTTGTAAACCTTTTATATCAACTATTTACCCGCCCACTTTCTATTACTTTGTTATTCAGGTCTTCTGCATGCCTCTTAGAATTTTGATGGACAAATGGACAAACAGAACACCGGGCTTTCACAATAGCTGAGTATTTGTGTATGTATATGTTATGTTTCTTGAGAAGACAAGTTTTGAAATATATTTGTGCTCCGGGCAAAGCCAGATACTTCCTGCTAGTATTTAATAAAACACAGATGATTATTATTTCAAAAATTGGGGCCACAATGGGGGGCGATCACTGCAGAGACACCTATAATCCATCACCGCGTACGTACGTTGAACTTCCTTCACACCGTACGTAGCCAACTGGTAATCGGAGGTGCGATACGCCAACTGTCACTGTGCACGTGAGGGTTGGTGGATCACACCTGCATGTTGGTAAACTCCCTTCCCGTGGGTACCGTGCAGAAGCCGTACCCTGGCTCAGCAGAAGGCTGGTACAGGCAAATACAGGAAGCCCTCGCCTAACGTGGGGGTTCGGTTCAGTAGAAAAATGCCGCAGTCGGCAAATCCGCAGTTAGTTAAGGTATAGTGCCTATGGGAAATGCCACGGTCAGACTTGTCATAGCTTAACTAAGTTCCCAGTTTCTTCATTAAACACCGAATAAAATGCAGTGCATTGCATGATTATAAAGCATGAATAAACGTTAAGTTAACTTTACACACCTTTTAATAGAGGTTAGAAGTCCATGATGATGATGACAATGAGATGATGGGGAAAGGGCTGCTTCAAAGGAGGAGGGGCTCAGCCCGCCCTCCCCCTCTTCCTCCGGGGCATCAATGACAGATGAGGAGGCAGGCACAGATGAGGTGGCAGGCACAGATGAAGAGGTAGGCACAGAGGCAGGCACAGAGGCAGGCACAGATGAAGAGGTAGGCACAGAGGCAGGCACAGATGAAGAGGCAGGCACAGAGGCAGGCACAGATGAGGAGGCAGGCAGAGGCAGTTGATGAGCAATGCAGCTCCACGCGTGGCCGCGGTGGCGCGGAAGAGAACCGCGGCCTCCCGCAATATTTGTGACTGCGTGGTTGTGGACTCGTACTAAACCCGTCGGATACTCAACATTTCCAGGACGCGTAAGGTACATTGCTATACAGATAATAAACGGGTGTGTACGTTAATTCTGCGGTTGGCGAGCGATAGCTGTACGCTACTCAACCTTAAATCAGTGCGGTTGAGCGTGGTGCTGGCCACCCACCTCCATCGTTTGCCGTGCCGGCCTTCATAGGTGCCACTCGCGAACAGCACTTGCCCCAACAAGCTGTATGGCTCTGTCGGGTATCCTTGTGGTGGTGTATGTGTGGTGTATGTGTGGTGCATGTTATGATGATGCGGTGTGTGTGGTGTGCACGCAGCGTGCTGCGTTGTAGAACCCGGCGACCAGAGTTCGATTCTTGCCCCTGGCCTTAAATGAGCACCTGGTGCGGTGCATAACAAACACTGGGACTGGCACAACAAAGGTGGCCGGGGCGTGGCGTTGGCCATCCATCCCCTCTCGTGTTGTCACAGTGCCGGGCGGCCGTTATAGGCGCTTGCTACTCGCTCGCAGCACTTTCCCCTCGCTCGCAGCACTTGCCCCAACACTCTGCTGAGGCTACGCGGGGGATCTTCTCCACCTTTGTGCAGGGAGCTGCACAAGCACGCGCCAAAGCCGGGCTGCTGCACGTTTCTGGTCGGGTACCCCGTGCGCGTCACGTCCGTCCACCTGCTCAGCGCCGTGGGGCTGCCCGGGGCAGGTCAGGCCACACCAACAACAACACTTAAACCAACAACAACACCTACACCAACAGCCACACCAACAACAGCCACACCAACAACAGCCACACCAACAACAGCCACACCAACAACAGCCACAGCAACAACAGCTACACCAACAGCAGGGCAGCGCGCTGACCACTGCCCTTACCGCTACCCACACAACAGCAGCCATTTTCCACTGAGTGGCGGATGAAATCACCGCGGTGCTTGAGCCAGGCTAGGGTGAACCCTGAGGCCGTCACGTGATGTGTGGAAGGCTTTCGCTGCTTGCTGGTTATGGGACCAAGCCAGGTGTTTGTAAGGTTGACTGTGGTAGCTGGCAGGTGTGCCACCCCCACTGCTATGACCTGTGGTGCTTGTAGGCCACATCACCACGTGCTCATGCGATGTGACCTGGTCATGTTATGTTAGTGATGTGAGGTGGTGATACTACAACACACTGGCACACTTCACACTTAACCGCTCTTTGTCACACTTCATCAAGCTTCACAAAACTCCATTACCCCTTCATCACACTTCAACGCAACTTCACCACACTTCATCACACTTGATCATCACAACATCACACTATCGCATATCGTCACACCTCGTCACACTTGTTCACGCAGGAAGCAGCTGGTACGCAGTGGTGCGGGCCGAGGGCACGAAGGTTCGCTCCCGCGTGTACAAGAACAGCAGCCCCGAGTTTGACGCGCGCGCCATCTTCTACCGCAAGAAACCGAACAGCCCCGTCACCGTTGAGGTGCGGGACCCCGTCGTGCCTCCACCCTCAATAGGCGCTCGCTGACTCTGGCAGTCCAAACCCCTTCCCGGCTAGGCCCAGACTCACCGTGTGGCGCGCATGTGTGCGTGGAGGTGTGAGGGATGGCTATACATCCAGTAGGGGTTGGCCTCCATCCGCCAGGGGTAGGACTCCATCCTGCAGGGGTAGGCCTCCATCCTCCAAAGTAGGCCTCCATCCTGCAGGGGTAGGCCTTCATCTGCCAGGGGTAGGCCTTCATCCTGCAGGGGTAGGCCTCCATCCTCCAAAGTAGGCCTCCATCCGGCAGGGGTAGGCCTTCATCTGCCAGGGGTAGGCCTCCATCCTGCAGGGGTAGGCCTTCATCCGGCAGGGGTAGGCCTTCATCCTGCAGGCGTAGGCCTCCATCCTCCAAAGTAGGCCTCCATCCTGCAGGGGTAGGCCTCCATCCTGCAGGGGTAGGCCTCCATCCGGCAGGGGTAGGCCTCCATCCTGCAGGGGTAGGCCTCCATCCGGTAGGGGTAGGCCTCCATCCGGTAGGGGTAGGCCTCCATCCGGTAGGGGCAGGCCTCTATCCGATAGGGGTAGGCCTCCATCCGGTAGGGGTAGGCCTCCATCCGGTAGGGGTAGGCCTCCATCCGGTAGGGGTAGGCCTCCATCTGGTAGGGGTAGGCCTCCATCCGGTAGGGGTAGGCCTCCATCTGGTAGGGGTAGGCTTCCATCCTGCAGGGGTAGGCCTCCATCCTGCAGGGGTAGGCCTCCATCCTGCAGGGGTAGGCCTCCATCCTGCAGGGGTAGGCCTCCATCCTGCAGGGGTAGGACTCCATCCTGCAGGGGTAGGACTCCATCCTGCAGGGGTAGGCCTCCATCCTGCAGGGGTAGGCCTCCATTTACCAGGGGTAGGCCTCCAGGGGTAGGCCTCCATCTGGCAGGGGTAGGCCTCCATCCGGCAGGGGTAGGCCTCCATCCACCAGGGGTAGGCCTCCATCTGGCAGGGGTAGGGCTTTATCCAGCAGAGGTGGCCAGCCTGCGAGCGTGTTAACTACGGCGCGCTGGAAGCCACGCTGGTTTAGGACCTTTGTGTTTGCGCGCAGGTGTGGGAGAAGGGCGTCCTGTCGGACTCGCTGCTGGGCCGCGTGGCCGTGCCCTCGGAGCCCACGCAGCAGAAGGAGCTCCACGTGCTGCGCCTGGAGCGCAAGGGCCAGGAGCTGGCCAGCATGGTCAACGTGTGGGCCAGCACGCGCGACGCCCTCGACGAGCTGTGACGGCACTGCCTGCTGCACCGTGTGGACCGCACTCTGTGTGTGTGGACTGTGGTCTGTGTGTGTGTGGACTGTGTCTGCGTGTGTCCAACTGCATCTGTGTGTGTTGACCACACTGTGTCTGGACCGTGTCTGCATGTGGACTGGTCTGTGTCTGTGGATTTTATCTTTGTGTGTGGACCGCGTCTGCTTGTGTTGACCATACTGTGTGTCTGTGTGTGTGGACTGCGTTTGTGTGTTTACTGTAGTGTGTGTACCGTGGTGTGTGTGGGTCACACTCACACACACCTCGCCACACACACACCCGCCTCTCAAACGTTCTTGCGTTTTAAAACATTCCTTATGTAGCATGTTTACAGTACATACAGTGCACTTGGCAGTCATGCTGATTCAGGGATTCTCATGCTGTGCACAAATCTCCCTCTCCTGGGCAGTGCCACCCCCAGTGCAGCTGCACCGCCTGCATACCCAACAGCTATGCCACCGTGGAGTCTGACATTGAAATCCATGCACTCATATAGACCAATAGATTTGCCAGAGCTGCATGGACTCGCACAGAGAACCAAGGACTCATATGTACACTCATGGACTCACATAGAGACCCATAGACTCACTGAGACCTTTAGACTTAGAGAGACCAATATATTTGCATAGAGGCCCATAGACTCACATAGACGCCCATCAACAGGAGTTGGCAGTGGCCGTGGTGGAAGGAGTGCAGTGGGTGGGGGGTTGGTGAGGGGGGCTGTACAATTTATCGCCCCTCCCCCACCGCCATTTTAATCTGGCGGTGTCGTCATCCTACTCGCCACCGTGTGATTGGCTGCCGACTGTCGTCTTGCTGGGCCAGTCAACGTTAAGCTTCATATACTAATTATCTTGTTTTATAATCATTATCTTGTTTTATAATAATTATCTCGTCTTATAATAATTATCTTGCTTTGCACAGCTCTCAACCCATACGGTTTACCCCATATGCTTGTACAGGGAAACACATTTTCAGGTCCATACGGCCGCCAGCCGTTTCAATATGGGCAAACAATATGTATCTGTGTATCTCCCTTGTGATGGGAGTTTGTAATGATGAACGTTGAGATTTAGAAGGGCACGGAGTGACCAATACGGTCTGACTTGGTCTGTGATAAGCTAGGCACTGATACGGTGTTGACGGATATGTTACACTGCTTACGTCGAATATACGATGATGACTTATAATGATGACGAGGGCTAGGTAAGGGAATAGAACTTAGGTTGCGGGGGTTCGGAGCGCAGTGCGCTAAACCACTGCGTTCGTATTATTATGCATCACTATCTCTGAAATGTATACAATGTGTTTGTGCCTGTGTGTCAAATGTTTATAATGTTAAGCTCCGTGTATCACTCGAGACAATGGGATCTTTGCCCAGCTGCTCACATGAGCGTTGAGCCATTGGTGGGCATCTCCTGTTTACAGCCCGGCAGAGCCAACGGTGGGAATTCCAATGGCGGGTGCATAGTCTCATAAAGAGACCCATTCACTCGGAGAGCCACAGATGCACAGAGACACACTCTCACAAAGAGACTATAGACTCGCATCATGACTCATAGATGCAAAGAGAGACCCAATCTCACAAACGCATACTATCACAGAGACCCTCAGACTCACAGATTCAGACTCCCATAGTGACCGATAGTCACATAGAGACCCATAGTCTTATAGTAACCCATAGACTCGCAGAGACCCAGTTTCACGTAGACATACAGTCGAACGGTGACCCATAAACTCGCACAGCGATCCACAGACTCGCATAGTCACCGATAGACTCAGAGACCCATAGACTCATATAGAGACCCATAAACTCGTATGGAGACCCATAGACTCACATGGAGACCCATAGACTCATATGGAGAACCATAGACCCTCGCATAGATAATCCGAGAGGATAGTTCCCTTACAACCAGCAATGACGCGAGCAAAGTTATTACAGGGCTGCACCTAGTATATGCATTAGGTCGACTCAGCCTAAAATGATTACCTGGTGCCATATGTGTAAAAACAATGCCACTAGGGAGACAAAGGCAGTCGGGCGTGGTGTTGACCACCCACCCCGTCGTGTGCCGATGCTACTCGCTAACAGCACTTGCCCCCCCCCAACAGCCCGTTAAGGCTTGACGGCGGAGGGGATATTTTGTCTTTTATACGAGTGTGTGGTGAATGTTACGATGGGTGCCATTGACTTCACGGGTTTCCCAAGGGGGGCGGGGGGCGGGAAGCAGTCGCCTGTTGTGGAGAAGAGGGGAACTCGTGAAAGGGCCCGGCCAGGGCCGTGGTGAGAGCCAGTCGGGCCAAAGGTCGTTGAGCTTTTGCCGTCACGTGCCGGTGGACATCTTTTTTAAGGGGCAGCCGGTCGGGGAGATGGAGCGGCGCGCATGTAATGCCGTCCACATGTTTACCGTCTGCGGAATAATAAAATCAAATAAAACCCCGAAGGCATCGGTCCGTGTTATTCTGAGGTCGCGTGGAGTGAGTGACACTTTAGAGCAGCGGTTCTCTACCCAATGGGGCTCGTGGCAATGTCCCAATGGGGCTCGTGGCACTTGCCCCGACAGTCTGCTTAGGCTATACGGGGGCTCTTTGTTTGTGGTGATGATAGTGGTGATTGATAGTGGTGATTGAGTAATTGATTGTGGTGATTGATTAATTGATAGTGGTGATTGATTGATAGTGGTGATTGGTGGTTGATAGTGGTGATTGGTGATGTATGTGGTGGTGAAGATGATGTATGGGGTTATGATGATGAGTGTGGTGATGATGAATGTGGTGACAGTGATGATGGTGGTTTATGTGGTGGTGATGATGATGAATGTGGCGGTGGTGGTGTTGATGATGTATGTGGTGATGGTGGTAGTGTTGATGATGATGTATGTGGCGATGGTGATGCGAGTGTGAATGAGGGTGAATGAGGCTCCCTCTCCACACTAAGCAAGCACTCACAGAGGCGTGAAGCGTGACCGAGGCGCCCATAGACGTCCAATAGCCGACTCGAGCTCACGACGACAGCCTGACTCGTCTCACGACAGCCTGACTACAAGCTCACTAGGCAGTTCGCTACAGCCTCACGACACCCTGATTACAGCCTCATTAAACAGTTCGTCTACAGCCTCGCTACAGTCTGACAACAGTCTCACGAGACAGTTCGTCTACAGCCTCACGACAGCTGGACTACAGCCTCGTCACAACAGCCTCTCTAGACAAACCGACTACAGGCTGACTGCAGCCTCATTACAGCATCACCACAGGCTGACTACAACCTCATTAGACACTTCGACTACAGCCTCACGAGACAGTCCGACTACTATAAGTCTCACTAAAGGCTGACTACAACCTTACTACATCGTCCGACTACAGCCTGACTACAGCCTGACTACAGCCTGACTACAGCCTCACGAGACAGTCTGACTGCAGACTCACGACTGCTTCCCTACAGGCGCAGGTAAGCGTCATCCTCTAACAGTGCGGTTACCAGGAGTGCCATTGAAAGGATTTTTGTTAGAACATCCGCGGTTAACATATAATCAGTTACCAGGATTGTGGTTAACAGATAATCAGTTACCATGATTGTGGTTAAGAGATAACCAGTTACCATGATTGTGGTTAACAGATAATCAGTTACCAGGATTGTGGTCCACAGATAATCAACTACCTAGGATTGTGGTCAACAGATAATCAGTTACCATGATTGTGGTTAAGAGATAATCAGTTACCATGATTGTGGTCAACAGATAATCAGTTACCATGATTGTGGTTAAGAGATAATCAGTTACCATGATTGTGGTCAACAGATAATCAGTTACCATGATTGTGGTTAAGAGATAATCAGTTACCATGATTGTGGTCAACAGATAATCAGTTACCATGATTGTGGTCCACAGATAATCAACTACCTAGGATTGTGGTCAACAAATAATCAGTTACCATGATTGTGGTTAACAGATAATCAGTTACCATGATTGTGGTTAAGAGATAATCAGTTACCATGATTGTGCTTAACAGATAATCAGTTACCATGATTGTGGTCAACAGATAATCAGTTACCAGGATTGTGGTTAACAGATAATCAGTTACCATGATTGTGGTTAACAGATAATCAGTTACCATGATTGTGGTTAAGAGATAATCAGTTACCATGATTGTGCTTAACAGATAATCAGTTACCATGATTGTGGTCAACAGATAATCAGTTACCAGGATTGTGGTTAACAGATAATCAGTTACCATGATTGTGGTTAAGAGATAATCAGTTACCATGATTGTGCTTAACAGATAATCAGCTACCAGGATTGTGGTCAACAGAAAATCAGTTACCATGATTGTGGTTAACAGATAATCAGTTAACATGATTGTGGTCAACAGATAATCAGTTACCATGATTGTGGTTAACAGATAATCAGCTACCAGGATTGTGGTTAAGAGATAATCAGTTACCATGATTGTGGTTAACAGATAACGAAATTGCCGATAACAGGATCGCGGATAACAGGATTTGCGAATAAAAAGATTGCGGATAACAGGAATGTGTATAACAGGATTGCAGATAACAGGATGCCCACCTCGTCTGGGCCTGACCCTCTGACCCCATGGGGGGAGGGCGCTGGTCGCTACGGGAGACCCCCCAGGGAGCTGGGGTACGCCGCTCGCTCTTCGCGGCACCAGCACGTGGCCCCACCGGGACCCCTTTGGGGGCCCCCCTCTCAGCCCCCCGCGAGGAGGGAGTGCGACGATCTGGCGAGGTCCCTGAGACCCTGGCCCCGATACTCAAAGCATCACGGACATCAGTGCGGCCTGGATCGGTGGGTCAGCATCCATCAGCATCATCATCATCATCAAACAATCGTGGTATCATCGTTCGCAGCAGCATTAGTGGGAGCAGTGTCAGCAGCTTTGTCATCATCATAATCATCAAAGCATCATCATGATCATCCTCCGCAGCATCATTACCAAATCATCATCACCACTCATGCTGTGAGAACACCAATCTAGAGACGTTTGACCAGGAATTAGAGACGTGGCCAAGAGGAGGTGGGCCATGAGCCAGAGACAGCAACTCTTAGATGATGGGAGCGAGATCTGAGAAACGGCATCATCTTGGGTGAGCAGATCAGATACTTGATCCTGCGTGGGTTAAACTCGAGAGGCATGGACATCTTGGAGCAAGATTATGACCTTGGCACAGTCGAGCAAGGTCAGAGAACTCACCTTGAGATGGTGGACCAATGATCAAAGAAACGTTACCTTGAGATGTTAGACCAATGATCAGAGACATGTGACCTTGAGATGATAGACACATGATTAGATAGACATTACCTTGAGAGAGTAGACCAATGATCAGAGAGACGTGACCTTGAGATGGTGGATCAGTGATTTCTACCCCATTTTGCCCATCACTCTCCCATCTCCACAATTTGCACGACTCAGTCCGGTGTTTAGTGTCTCCATGGGTGGTGATGGGCGCGACGGAGGAGGCCGTTTCCCTGTGGGGCCCGCAAGGATGGGGGGCTCCCCAGGCGAGGCCGAGGAGGCCTCCACTGGGGCCCACGGTCCGGGCATCGGGGCTCGCTGGGGCGTCAGGGCGCTACCGCGACCCCGCCTGGGCCCTGCCCTGGCCTTCGTGCTAGGATGTGCCCTGTCGGCCATCCTGGCTGTGTTGATGCACATAGCAGGTGAGGAGAACTGCGGAGGTGCCCCTTTCTCCATTATACGAAGCTCCTCCTTCATCCACAGCTCTCACCATTCCTCGCAGCTCCCTCCATCACTTACAGCTCCCTCCTTCATCCGCAGCTCCCTCCTTCATCCACAGCTCCCTCCTTTATCCACAGCGCCCTCTTCTTCATTCACAGCTCCCTCATCCATCCACAGCTCCCTTCTTCATTCACAGCTTCCGTCTTCATCTACAGCTCCCTCCTTCATCCACAGCTCCATCCTATATATAAAATACTGAAAGAACCAAGATTAAGTCTACATTATAGACTGCCAGTATGCTCAATCAGTTTAATAACCATTGCTACAGTCTACATCATAGACTGCCAATACGCTCACCGGCTTAAAAACTAGGCTACAGTCTACATTATAGACTGCCAGTACACTCACCCAACTTAATAACCATTGAAACAGTCTACATTATAGCATGCCAGTACACTCACCAAACTTAATAACCAGGCTACAGTCTACATTATAGACTGCCAGTACACTCACTTCGATTAAAAACCAGGTTACAGTCTACATTAGTGTTTTTTATTTTTTTCATTATTTTTATTTTCATTCACTTAATTTTTTATTATTATTTTTCTATCTACGTGACTTTACCGAAAGAACCAAAGAATATGAATTCCTGCAGTCACGAAAGTTTTAAGTAAAAATTTTAAGTCGCAATATAATTTTAACATGTAGGCTTTCGCGACCAATATCGTCCATAATAGAGGTGTTTTTGGATTAGATCGCGTGAATATATAAATGTGTCGTTAAAACCCGCCACCACCCGACACAGCTAACTAGTAAGGGTTGTCATGTAGACAGAACGTGGCCAATTCGTCATTAGTACAGCACTAGTGTATAGTGTAGTGTATAGTGGTGTAGTGTATAGTAGTGTAGTGTATGGTGTTGTGTAGTGTATAGTGTAGTGTATGGTGTAGTGTATGGTGTAGTGTATAGTGTAGTATACTAGTACATCACACCGGCGTGTTGGAGAGCCAAGCCACAACATTTACAATCTGAGTACGACTTTTCGCCAGTAATTACAACCAGCTTCATCAGGCGACAGCAAGATTTGTGCAAAGTCTAACTGTTTCGTTCCTTATATAGAGGCTTCAAGCGGCCTTACGTGGCTGTGGGACGGATTAAGTTACAGAATCAGACTCCTTATTTATACTGGAGGAATCGGATGAGCTCTAAAGGTCTTTTTCAGCAGGTTTCCGGTTATGAAATGAGGTCGCGGATCGCGTCCGGCCTCCGGGTCCACAGGTGGACCACCAGAGTTACCACCCGTCCCGGAACGAGCATCGGCTGTGTTTTGGTGGCAGCAGTTGATTTGGGGGCACCGCGGTGGCTAGGAGATGTTAACAACCTCGCCTGGTACGCAGGAGGTTGTGGGTTCATTCCCGACCCTGACACCTGCTGTATATTTGTAGTTTGCGTGTCTCTCTCTCATCATCATCACGGTGACTAGGAGATGTTAACTACCTCGCCTGGTACGCAGGAGGTTGTGGGTTCATTCCCGACCCTGACACCTGCTGTATATTTGTAGTTTGCGTGTCTCTCTCTCATCATCATCACGGTGACTAGGAGATGTTAACTACCTCGCCTGGTACGCAGGAGGTTGTGGGTTCATTCCCGACCCTGACACCTGCTGTATATTTGTAGTTTGCGTGTCTCTCTCTCTCACCATCATCACGGTGACTAGGAGATGTTAACTACCTCGCCT